TGGTGGTTCTTGTTTACATACTTGTCCAAAAGAAAATTCCCAAAGAAAATGTGGACATAGAAAGAAAGAACAAGGACTTATTTTATGGATACCATTTGAAAAAGATAAGGAAAGGAAGTATCCTTTGAGTGACCTGATTACCATTTTAATGACTTTAATTTGCTCATAGATTTATCTAGTTTTTAAAAATCCTCTTAATTAACCCATTGATTCAGAGACTATAATTATGCCACTTTGAAAACAAATGAGTTGCTTCGGATTGTACAACTGGTAAGAAACATGGTTAGGCTTCAAACCTGAGTCTACCGGACCTGAAAGCTCCAGGACTCGTTCTGCCTCACCAAAGCACAAAGCTAAAGTTCTGTTGTTTTTCAGAAAAGTAGAAATGCCCCCTTTGGAGGGGGGAATCTGACATGTAATTTTTCCTTATGCATCCGCCTGTTAGCCAAGCAAAGAAGGAGCGCTGTTAGGGAGTCAAAGGTGGAATGGGGAATGTGCTCCACCTTTGAAACCCAGCAGAAGCAGAGATAAACCTCTACCAGGCCATGGCTTGAATAAATAGGTCATGCAGTTGATTGCTTAGCATCAGATTTGGGTAGTGAATATTTTCTATGAAAATCGGAGCAAGAACAAAGCCGTGAAGCACAGTAGTTATGTGGCCTGGCTCTGGAGTCATAAAATTGAGCTTGCATGCTGCCCTTTCACTAAGACAGCTGACCTCTCCCAATCTCAGTTTTCTTACCTATAAAGTGGGGGAATGGCTCAGCAAGGTGGCGCATACCTGCAATTCCAGGTAGTTGGGAGGCTGAGGCAAGAGGATCACAAGTTTGAGGCCAGCCTGGGTAACATATGAGACCCTGTCTCAAAATCTAAAGTATAAGGACTGGTAATATAGCTTAGTAATATAGCACCCCTGATTAACAATTCAATTCCCAGTACCACACACACACACACAAAAAGAATGATACTTTGTTGGATCATGATTAAATGATTGTTCAGTGCCTGAAGTATAAATGCTCAAAAAGCCCTCATTATTGTCTGTTATTGTTTTTCCTGCTTCTCTCTTTGAAATTCACAATCCAAGTTCTATTTTATACAAAATAATACCATATAAAGAAATAGTATATAAAAGCTACTTGCACAAGCTTGCCTTTTATGCAGATTTGTACACATCAGCATCTTGGATTGTTTTGACACATGCAGATATACAGGCAATGCATTCAAATGTGAGGACAGTGTAGCTTTGAGCTAAGAAACAAGGCTAAGCTAAACCCTGTGGCTTTACCCCAAGTGGTGCCGACAGAATAACAAGTAAGAATGAGGGCAGATTTGACTTGGTCTCTCTCTTTTTCTGGCAGCTTTTGTGTGGTTTCCTTAGAAGGTTTTATCCTGGCATTTTTCAGAAATAATAGAGTTGTTGGAGATGATTATAGACAATCATGGTTTCTCAGAGACTGAACTGTGAGTAGCCTGTTCACTGGCTGCTCCCCAGGGACTGACAGGAGTGAAAAACTGGTCCTGCTATTTACCACATATTGGATCTTCTAAGATCCAAGTAGAACTGGCCTAGGGGCCTCTGGAGACATTGGCCAGACAGGATGCATTGGAAGGAGGAAAATCTGACGCTCATTTGGAAATGAGAGGAATGTTGATGGTGAACTATGAAATCCATTCCAACAGAAAAGCAAACCCAAAAGTGGTGTCACCTGATGGACTAAGTAACATATGTCTCTTAAAATCCATGTTTGGAACCAGTGAATATTAAGAAATCAAAAGGGATCATCTGAGTTGAAATGAAAAAACCTCCCTTCGACATTGTGTGGCTACTGAGCACTTTACACGTGCAAGTCCAAACTGAGATGTGCTATAAAATACAGACACTTAAAAACATAGTACTAAGAAGGAATATATCTCACTAATTTTTATGTTGATCACAGTTTGAAATGATAATATCTTAGACATAGCAGGCTAAATAACATAATTGTCAAAATAATTTTACTTGTTACTCTTGCTGTTTTGAATGTGCCTACTGGAAAACTACAAATTCCACGGTTAGCTTGCATTCCTTTTTCTGTTGGACAGTGCTGCTTTAGAATCGCACATAGAAGTTTTATCCCTACTCTTAACTCCATTTAATATTTGCCTCTACTTTATGCTCCATTGCGAAGAGATACTTACCTAGCACTTTTCTACCCAGGGATTTTGCTTGGCTGCTCACTCTACCGAGACTGTTCACTCCCCTAGACCTGCTCACAGATGACTCCCAGGAATGCCTTGTCTCCAGGGTCCTGCTCTAATGACCTGTCAGTGAGATCTACAAAATCTACCTGTCCATTCTCTTTATAGCACTTGGTTTGTCTCTCAGCCTTCCCAGCTTATAATAGGATTACATCCTGATAAGCCCATCATAAGTTCAAAATATTTTATGTCAAAACTGCATTTAATCACCTAACCTACTGAACATCCTGGCTTAGCAACACAATGCACTCTAGAATACCGCACTGATTGTTTCTCCTAGTGACCATGTGGCTGGCCGTAGCTGAGGCTTGTTGCCACTGCCCAGCACTGAGAGACAGAGTATGGCGCCACATGTTGTTAGCCCAGTAAAAGGTTAAAATTCAATATTTGAAGTACAGTTTCTACTGAATGCTTTCACACCATTGTAAAGTCAAAGAAAAACAAAATACTAAATCAAACCATCTTAAGTCATGGACTATGTATAATATGAGCCCCATGAGAGAGTCTGCAGCGTTTATGGGCCCCATCTCCTGAACTCAGAACAACGTCTTGCTCATAGCTGACACTTGATAAATATTTTCTGAATAGTTAAATGCCCTAAATCTGATTAAGATGATTTAAACTGTGTTCTGGCCTGGTTGGTCTTCTCTTCCTAGTTAGCTCTGCCATGGGCCAGCCTCTTTGCTAGCCACTGGGAGATGGCACAGATGTCTGGTCTCGGCCCTTCAAAAAGCTCTGAACTTAAGTCTTTTTCAAACACAAAAATGTCAGCCAACAGAGTTCTCACAATGCTGCCATGAGCCTTTTGTTTCATTTTACGAGATATACTAAGGAAATAAACCCATAGCGATAGAAACAGGGCAACCTCAAAGTCAGGCTCCTTGCTCATAAGAGTTGCAGATGGGTGTTGAAAAGGCAGCTAGCTCCTCTGTGCTCTTCTGGTTTTGCAAAACAGATCAGCCATTCCTAAGAACTATGATTATGGGCAGAACAAAGGCATGTATTTCTAGCTGTGGAAGACTCTAAATGAGAAGTCAGTTTGAGTTCAAAGGGTACATGTTTGCAGAGGTTTGTAAGACAGACCTTGTAATGTTAAATTACAAAAGCAACATCTAAACCAATATGTGAGTGGATACTCATGTGTGTGTGTGTGTGTGTGTGTGTGTGTGTGTGTGTGTACTATAAATGTACAGGAGAAAGAAAACGACATTGCAAATGGCTTCCGTGGGCTACCTCAGGGTTAGAGAAGGCTAGACAATAAGGCATTATAAATATTTTCTTCACATATCTCCATGTTGGGTTGTTTTTGTTGTTGTTGTTGTTTTTCTAAACATGGATAGATTTGGTTTTCAAAAATGCTTAAAATAGTTTTTATAAGAAAATTTAAAAAGATACACCACAAAGCTTCCCTGTATTTGATGAGGTCTATTTCTCAGCTCTTGAGTTTTTTCACCTCAGTTCTGTGCCTCAACTACTAAAGCAAAGATCTGCTTCCAGCCTGAGGATCAAAAGGCAGGAAGTTAAGACTGCAGTCACTTCTGGAGAATTTGATGATGTCATGGATCTCAGTGATAACCAAGTACATCTGTGTATAATGACTGTCTTGTAGTCGTTAGGATTTCCTTAGCCTCTGTATTTGGGAAGGTACCCTTTTTGAGGGGCACCTGTTATAAACCAGGCAATTTGTGTATATAATCATATTTTTATTCCCTAGTCAACCCCTTAAAAGGTAGGTGGTGTTATTCTCATAAGATATAGAAACCAAGATTCTAGAAGGTTAGATGAATTGTCAGAGAGCTGATAAGAGGCAAAGCCCAACTTTAAACCTCTCCTTTCCAATATCATACTGATTTTACCACCATTTGCTACCTCTTTAGAAAGGACAATCTACAATATGTTTTGCAATGACATAGCTGAATTAAACTCTGTGCTCAATGACAGCCTAATTGTAGGCACCTGAGAAAAGCCTCTGCTATCTAAAAGCCTTTCCCTAACTAGCCTTCCTTGAAGCTTGACAGCCTACCAATAGAATCGGTCCCATTGTGTAAGGAATCATCCCATCCCCTGGGATCCATTTTCCAAGCATAAAGACCCTTACAAATGGGCAACATGTAACATCATTAAAAATCACAAACACCATAATTACCAGGGAAATATATCTAGCAAGCTTCCAAGGGAATGAGACATGGGCCTGTAAGATTTAATGGAAAGGGGGAAAAGTGGGACAGGAGGGATAGTTACAGAGAACAGAAAGGAATTGTGGTAATGTGAATAAGTAAGGGACATGGAGAAGCCAGACTCAGGAAAGAAAGATGTCACTCATAGCATCCGTTACCACCCAGGTCAGGCCTGGGTGAAAATTACTGTGTGAAAAATGTCATTGGATGGGCACACAGCAGAGAATATTGGCAACTCTTTAGTTCATTTCCATAGGAAAATGAACTACACTTCCCAGCTACGAGTTCTGCAAATACTTCTATTTGTCACCAGGACAGGGAGGGTATATGAGACTGTATAGTGACTTTGTCAAGAAGACCATTCAGAAGGCACATTCTCCGACAAGTCTGCTCGGTGCTTTTCTCAGACTGTATTTAATCAGACTGAAGGCCAGGAGGCAGCTTTAGGTTTTGTGGTTGAGAACATTGGGGTTAATTTACAAATGTAATGGAACTCATCTAGCAGTGGCTTTCTAGAAGCATTCCAGTTAAAAATATTGTCTTATCTGCTACTTAAATGGTATCTACTTTTTTTTTTTCTCACAGAAAAAGCGTACATTGAAGGGCTCCATTGAACTCTCTCGAATCAAATGTGTTGAGATTGTGAAAAGTGACATTAGCATCCCATGCCACTATAAGTACCCATTTCAGGTAAGTCTACCAGGCCTAGGGCAGATAGTTTCTTGTTCCCTGACCATGATTAAAATCCTCAGTCATTGTGAGAGAAAGTGAAGAAAAAATAACTCTTCAGCCCTAGAACTTAGACCAAGCCGTGAGAAAGCTGCTGTAACATTCATTCAGCAATGGCTAAGCACAAAATCTTGAAAGGTTGTTTTTTTTTCATTCTCTTTTCTCTCGTCTCTTCCATATCTCAAGGAAAGTTCTAGTTACTCTGCACCTGGAGGAAGAGTGAGCTGTTCTCAAGAGCCCCCACCTAATGTTCCCGTGCCATTTACTCATGATGTGGGACAACAGATTGTGATCCTTGGTTATAAATTGCTCAAGGTTTTTAAGGGAAAAAGATTCCAATTTTGCAATTAAAGAACTATCTGAAGATGGTTGTGCTGTTCAACACAGTAGCCACTAGCCTTATGTGGATGGTTAAATTAATGAAATGATATTAAAAATTCAGCTCCCTAGTCACATTGGCCATATTGCACATGTACAATAGCTACATGTGGCTAGTACATACTGTGTTGGACACAGATGATTATAGACTATTTTTCACTGCAGAAAGTTCTATTGAACAGAGCTGGAGGAAGGTACCTATAGTACGTCTGACTTATCACTCTTGGCATTTATGGCTCTAAACATGTGGATATCTCCTTGCACATCCCATACTTGCTTGCCAACATGAGGGGTGAATATTCCATACTAAATGTGTCATAGAAAATATTTTTTTTCCTACTAGAAAATTGGCCCCTATAAGTTGGAATTTTCAAGAGCAAAAGTAAAAGGATTCACATGAATTTCCCAGGTGTTAAAAATCCCAGTGACAAATGAGTATATGAAAAAATTGATGAAATTCGAAGATCTCTCATTTAGCTAATAGTATTGTACTAATGTCAATTTCCTGCTTTGAAAGTATGCTACAGTTATGTAAGATGTTATCAGTGGGGAAAGGTAGGTGAAAAGCATACAGGAACTCTGTACTATTTTTGGAAGTTCTTGTGAGCCTTTAACTATTTAAAATAAGAAATTTTAAAAGTTCTGATTATACGTTTGTCATCTAATAACTTATTCTTACATATGCTGTAAGGATTTTTTTTTTAATCATGGAGAAATAAACATGCTATCTAGTCAAGAGGAGAAATTTCTCCTATTTTAATTTAGCAGTAGCTTGTGTGGCATAGAATCTCAGACAAGCAGCCTAAGATGTGGATGTTTACCCTCTGATTGCACAGCCCCTAAACATCTGGATAAAAACATCTTAGAGACCAGTTCCCTGATTACCCAGATTTACTTATATGAACAATGACAAACACTGGAGACCCCTCCTTCAGCCAGTAAGCCAGATGTGTCTGCTGTCAGTCACCCATCTTTGGGCACCCTGCTCACATTGGATTTTGTGTATGTCCCCAGGTTGTGCACGACAACTACCTACTGTATGTGTTTGCTCCAGACCGTGAGAGCCGGCAGCGCTGGGTGCTGGCCCTTAAAGAAGGTAATCAGACTCCTGTGCCATTGAGTCACTGAGACCTTTCATCTTATGGTAGGCTAGGGTTCTACAATAGAGTAGAATGTGGTTTGAGAGCAACTAACCCCAAACATTTCTCCCTTTTGGTGTTGATAAGGTCCCAAGTATTTACCCTAAGACCAAGATTTATACATTTTTAAACAGCCCATTTTAAAGTCTTAAATAAGAACCCCCCCCCCAACACACACACACACACACACACACACACACGCACAAGTTTTTTCTCTTGTTTAGCAAAAAACCTAAAATATTTACTCTGGTTTTTTAAGAAAAAGTTTGTAATCCCTGCTACAAGTGAGAGATAAGAGTGTGGCCTGGGGTTGGATGGCTTATTTAAGTTAAACGTGTGGCTCTTCCATTTACTCTTCTATCTTGGGCAAGTTCTTAGCTGCTCTGAGTTTTGGTTTCCCCATCTATTAAACAAGAAGAGGAGGAGCGAATAACAGAATCTGCCTCTAAAACCTGATGTGAGAAAAACTTTTGAAACTATCCTGGTTATAGTCAGCATCCAATAAACACTAGCTAACTTTTAAGCCATTCAGGCCATCAAAAAGTGCATTTCTTAAGCCTTACCTTTCTGATGACATAATTGCACAGTGTCTTAATTCTATGGCATATAGAGCCAGGTCACTAAGGTAAATATTCCAGCTTAGCCAATTATTAGTGTGTGACCTTGCCCAAGTTCCTTGACCTTTGTGTGTCTCTATTTCCTCAGCTATAAATTTTGACTAATAACAGTCATGAGGTTCTTGGGACAATTAAATGAGTTAGGGCCTGTAAGGCACTTAGAACAAGACTCACCCCCCCCTCCAAAAAAATCACTGGATCTGTGTGACTATTATGGTCTTTTAGCCTGAAGCACCCAATTTGTCAGGAGATCAGGGTTCAAATACTAATCTGTCTCTAAGTAGCGGCAAGGACTAAGGAGAAGCAAGCTTCTTTATATCTCTGGAGCCATGATTCCTCTATCTGAAAATTGAGAATAAACTTACAAGTGGTATCTACTTCCACGGTTGTTGTTTTGAGTCTCAAATGGGATATGAACAGGCAAGTTCAGGGTAAGCCGGAAAGTGCCCTTATTAAAAACATCATGGGACAGATAGAACAAACACTAAAAAGTAATCAAAAGGGTCCAAGCATAACCACTGGCACCCTCCCTCTGTGCAGGGGTTTTACACATAGGATGTTGAAGCTGGAAGGAGCATTAGTGATCAACTGGCTAGTTCTGTGGGTCTTATACTTTTCTTTTCTTTTCTTTTTTTTTCCAATAGCAGAGTCCCTTTATTTTCCTACCAGAATTTTATTTCAAATTCACATCTAGAAGGGTTAAAAGCAAAACTGTTGTGGTTGAAGTGAGAAGATGAACAGGTGGGAATCCTACCCTCTCAGACTTCCCATTGCCCCTAAATCCTCTTTGTGAAGTTCACTGATTCAGTTTAATAACCTCATTGCACAGTGGAGGAAACTGAGGCTCAGATGAGGGTTTGCCCAACCTGGGAACACACAGCAGGTTGGAGGCAGAACCAAAGAAGAACACAGATCTGCTGAAGCCAAATCTAACACGTGTTCTCCCAGTAGATAGCGCAGTGAATTTATTTGCCATTTTTCTGACTGTTGTGGATAATATTTGCTCAGATCACACAACAGGAAGGTTATGACACTGATGATCCTTGAAAGAATGCCCTGGAAATAACTCTTCTGTGGTGTCAATCCCTTTCAGAAACGAGGAACAATAATAGTTTGGTGTCCAAGTATCATCCTAATTTCTGGATGGATGGGAGGTGGAGGTGCTGTTCTCAGCTGGAGAAGCTTGCAGTAGGCTGTGCCCAGTATGATCCAACTAAGAATGGTAAGACTGGGAATTCCATTTTTTCTTTGTGAAAGGACTGGGCTGTCAAGGATTAGATGTGAATTTCTACATTTTCAGAAGTTTCAGAGGGGAATCATCTTTCTTTACCTCCACTCTGCTCATGTTCATTCATCTCAAGGTCGGTGTCTATATACCTCCTGGCTACTCAAAGCATGGTTTTCACACCAACAGCATCAACACCACCTGGGAGTTAGTTAAAAATGCAAATTCTTTGGTCTCATCCCAGATCTACTGGATCAGAATGTGCATTTTAACAAAAATCTCTAGATTTGTGTGCACAGTAAAGTTTGAGATATAACCTAGTGGTAGGAAATTTGATGGTGTAGTCTACTTAAATCTTAAGTTTATATTGACAGCCTTAAGAAGTACATAATACTTATTCATTATTTCTATACTTATTTATGTTTTATTTGTATTTCTTAATTATTTGTTAAAGTGGCATCACATCGCATATGTGTCTAATTACACAAATTCAACTCTATACCCTTGGGGGAGAGGGGAGGAAAATACCTTTATTTTACTACCCATCAAACTTGCTCTTTACTTACACAATCTCAGAGGAAAGGAGGCTATGGTCTAAAAGCAAAGTGAAAACAGAAGTGGTTTCTTGGTCTTTGGCATCAAAGGCTGAAGTCCTGGGAACTGGACAGCAACTTGATTATACCTTATATTATAACTTTAGTACCTTAACCTCTAATAAAGTGCAGCTTCACTCTAATAGACTTGCATGGCATGTTCTGCTCTTGCTCCCCACAGCCTTGGAGGGTAGATGTGTGATGGTAAATAAATGGATGGCCTTGAGCATTCATGCTGGAAAGGGCTCTGCAAATCCATTGTTGAATGAGGGATGGCCCAAGCAAGCTGGTGCTTCCACTTTCCTCTTCTCTAAACTCTCCTACCATGGCTACCTTTCCCCTCCTTTTTCTGTCTTTCTCTCTCTCCCTCCCTTTGTTCTTCGTTTCTCTCTCTCTCTCTCTCTCTCTCTCTCTCTCTCTCTCTGTCTCTCTCTCTTTCACTAACTTAATACTTGAGACTGACAGCAGGCGGATGTAACATGTGGCTGGGTTTTCCGTGGCTTCCTGAGTCACAGCCTGTCTCAGCACCACTCAAGAAACCACCACCTCTCACCTTCCCCCTCGGGAAAGAAAGTCTTTCAAGGTCACCAGTCCATTGGCCCCAGAGAATATTTACTGAGCTTCAGAAGTCAGTGATCGTGCACATTGGCCCTGTTGGTTCTACTTGGGAGGGCAGCATGTGATGAGAAAAAAAAACAGAACCTTCAGTGCAGTGCGGGCAAAAGTTACTACAATAGCAGCATGGGGCAGCCTTGCCTCAGTGAGTGGAAGCCCTTTCCCGAACTAGAAATCTGGTCTCCAAATGCCTACTGGCACCGTGCTGTGGTCCCTCAGATGAGTCACTTGACCATCAATGCCCTTGTCTCTAAAATGGCAGGAGAGATCTTAGGGGCTGAAAATGAAAAAATACCCATGGCCCCTTCCAACTCTAAAATTCCTTGAATCTGTGTTTCCGTTTTGCAGTTTTCAATGTGCATGTTGCAACTATTCCTTTGCAGTATGCACATATGTTCCCTCTGCTGAATCCTAGATACCTGACTGAGGTGCTAGGCGCATCGGACTGACTCACCATAACTAGTGCTGGTCATGTCAAGCTCCTACCGACATTAACCTAGACCTAGCAACTCTCAGCCACTTCCATGGGTGTGCTGTGCAGCCACCTGCTAATGGTTTGTCCTGCTGCAATCCCACTGCCATCTCCGCCTCTGAGCATCTCCTCAACCCTCAGTTAAATAACCTCACCCACCATATGTAGACAGGGTTCCTATACTTTGTGTGGTTGCTGGGAGGTTTTCGGGGTTGTGAAAAGCTCTTAGCATAGCTCCTGGCATTTAGAGAGTTCTCAATAAATGCTAACTGTGTCTAATAGTCTTTCTTATTTGTGGAGGAAAGAATCTGAGGCTGAGATAGGATAGTGTGAGTATCTGCAAAGCAGCAGAAATGGCTGAGTAGAAATAGATCCTGCCACACCAACCCACAGCATCACTGGTTTCTGTAATGAGAGCCAGCCCTAATCACATTTCATACCATGGTCACACACAGGGAGAGGAAGGAAGGAAAGAACAAGGCCACAGAAAAAGAAAAAGGCCAGTCACAGAATGTCTGGTGCTGGAAGGGGCTCAAGGCTATACAGCTTATATTGATAGAGCTGAGGTCAGACCACCAGTCTCTGGCTCATGTTGAGTGCAGTAGGAACTATTCTTCTTAGTGTGTGTGTTATCCTTGTCTATTAATTGTGAGCCCAAGTTCATACCCCAGCCTGCCCTTGCTTAAGGAATTGGCACAGGGCTGGGCTACAACCTCAATGTGCTCATCTCCTCTCCCACATCCCTTGACAGGGGCTGTCCAAGTGCAAGTCCACTTCATGTTGAGATGAGGCCTCACTGCCTGCCTATATAACCCCTTTCCTTCTAATCTCTAATGATGAAAGCAATATTTGCACTGGGCTGAAGCCTGTGCCATCTCTCACCTACCCTCACATGTGTTTCTCCACACAGACACACAACGGTGGCCCATTCATGCCAGCCCTGACCTTCGCAGTGCCACAAAGCAGAAAAGTGAGAGATGGAGATGGAGAGATGAAAGGATGAAGAGAAGGAAAAGGAGAGAGAGCAGAGAAGGGAGGAAGGAGGAAAGAGAGTAAAGAGAGGGAGATATGGAGACATAAAGAGAAGTAGAGAGAGGCAGACAGTGAGGTGGAGAGAGATGGGCTGTAGTTTAGGGAAAGCAACAAGTTCAGAGGCCTTTCAATGCCAATTAAAAGCAGATTTCATCCCACTCAAAGAGGAGCGCAATGACCTCCCACCTCATCCACCCCCTCCTCAGGCCCACAACACACCAGGAAACCAGTGAGTCACTGTCCCCTGAGTCACCAATTCCCACTCCTGGCCTTAGCAGGTGGCATATACATTTGTGGAAGTCTCTGTACCTGCAGAAAACGGCTCAAGACTCACCCCCACCCCAATCAAGTTTTTCCTGGGAATACAGAAAGTTCAGAATATTAATTTCTAGAAGTCTCTAGTGTTTTCTAGAAAAGGTAATTGGAAACCAGCGGTGAAAGAGATAAACAGGCTCTGCCAAGGCCAACTCTAGTTTCTGTGTGTCTCGTCATCTCCTTCTGGCCCCTTTCCCTCTGTTGTTTTCCTTCCACCCTTTTTCTCTGAAAGGCCCCCAACCTCAGGTTGGGCCCAGTGAGTTTCATGCTCACCTTCTTTTTCTGTTTTTCTTGTTTCAGCTTCAAAGAAGCCTCTTCCTCCTACTCCTGAAGATAACAGGGTGAGTGAGTAGCCAGCTCCAGGCATAGGTGGGCCGACAGAGCGGCAGGCCCAAGGGCACTGCCCATGCTTCTCAAACCCTGGATAGATACCGCAGATCTGGCGATTCAGCACAACTCAGCGTGTTTTTTGTGCTCTTTCGTGGGTCTGTCCACTTCAAGGGCCACTTGGCTGCTGAAGCCCCACCTCTCCGTTTTCACTTTATAATCACAGATATTAAACTGTGTATTTACTCTGTGGTTTGACATACTAGCACTCTAGAGATATAAATTTGATAACACTCTGTCATGAAGCATATCCTTATTTTTCATTATTTGTGTTAAAACTAAGTATCTCTTCTACCCACCTCAGAGGGTTATAGTTTTATTCTCATTTTAGAGCTTGGGTAATCAAGTCCCAAGAGATGTCTTGGAGGCTTTCCAAAGCACACTTAGCAGGATGCAGTTTCTGGTGTGCTGGTCTTTAGCTTGAGTGGTGGTTCTCAGTGGTTGGTCCATAGACCAGCAGTATCAGCATTGCTCGGGAGCCTGACAGGAATGCAGCTTCTCAGGCAACACCCCAAACCTGCTGCATCTACACATCTAGGGTAGGGGCCTATAGTGTGCCTTTGAATAAGCCTCCAGGTGATTCTAAGGTACATTCAAGTTTGAGAATCTGTAATATACTGATTTATATGACTCCATGGTACAGCACCAACTCTGAGGAAGATTGTTAAGAAGACAGGAAAAAACAAAAACAAAAAGCAGGAAAGAATTGGCCTTCATTTTCTGGTCATATAATTCCCAATACCTACATTTAAGCACTTTTCCTCTATTCCATAATCTACCAATTCTAACTCTTCACGCTTCTTCTTGAAGACTGAGCTCTGCTTCCCCCCACCCCCAACAGCCAAGGTGGTGACATTTCAAAACTGGCAGTTTCCCCATGAAGGAAGATCTAAATCCTGAAAACTTCAGGCTGGTTTTTAGATCTGTCATCAGCCTACTCCCTCACAACAGGGAAGAGCTGTGCTACTGTAGCAGAAAATGAGCTCCTTACTTTAGTTCCACTGGCCCTCTGAAGACTGCTTTAACATTCTCCTTGCAGATGTGGTTTGGAACCCCTCTGCTCTCACTTGCAGATGGTTCCCCTGGCAATCCCACCCAAACCCATTCCACTCAACCTAAGTCAGTCTGCCCCTGCTTTATTCTCAGTGTCCATGAAAGTGAAGTCCATCGCCCCTCGGACTCTGCCATTTGGCTTTTCACACCTGAAGGAGCAGCATCCATACTGTTTTGAACACTGTGACCACAGGGTTTCTGAACCATTGCTCTAATTTCAATCACACCTCTAAAGCGGTTTCAACATTTCTCTTACTCTGAGCTGCTTGAAGTCATTTTCTCTTTTTACCTGCTTGCTCTCTTACCTGAGGAGAACAATGTTTTTAAGCTGTTTTAGGCCTCATGCTGTAAGAGAAAAGACTGTGGAGAGGTCCTCCAGAGAGGAAGGATGGCCGTTTGGGGTCAAAATGGAGAATCTCCATGGTCAGACAGTCCCAGACCTCTCTAGGGAGCAAACAAGGTCATGGTTTCTGCTGAAGTCCAAATTCCATTTCCTTTTGGCCCCCTTATTTACAGGAGCTCAGCTCATCCTTAAGATGCCTCCCAGTCAACCCAGAAGAGCCTCCTAAGAGGCCACTCAGCACTGTGTCTGCCTATGTCCTTTCTCCCTCACTCCCTACTCTACCCCTGCCACTGCCACCCAGGCTGTCTAGGAGGGCCCCTCAGCCCAGGGGAGCTCTCCCCACCTGGGGCCAAGAGAGCTCTTGGGGATCAGGGGTGTTTTGAGGCTTAAAGCAGAGAAGCCAGGACGTGGGACCCTCATCTACTTCAAGCCTCATTGTACCCCCTCAGCTTCCAAGCAGCCTTTTTGAACACAAAGTCCATCATTTTCTACAAATGTCTTCCCTTGATCTTCTTACTCTAATCTAGTGGTTCCTAACCCTATCAAACCCATTGTTCCCTTTTTATGACAAATATGTTACAAAGATCCCTTTGTTATCCTGAAAAGACAATCAAAAATAACACAACCTATCTAAACATCCTTTTAAAAGAATCAATAAGTGATGTAAGTGTAGTACTAAAAACAAAAAAAAATATATAGCACGTAACTCTATATCAATATTGTGGCATGGCTGTACTTGAAGAAGGAGGAATAACCAATTGCTTGTGCCTGTAGGTAGAATTCCACTGAAATTGACAGCTGGAACCCAACTGATGCAGGAATGTTTTACTGATGACCCAAATATAATGTTAATATTTGTGATGTGATTTTTCAAAATAGTTAAAAATTCTTGGTAAAATTCTCAGTTAAGCAAAGTGTAAGCGCTCTTCCATGCACTGGGTAGTAGCATTCCTGGGAAATTCAGTACTCTGTCTTAGACTGAGTAGGATCTAGGCCTAGGGTCTTCTTACATATCATAATTATAAGCAGGTTTCTCACCAGAAGAATATTTAAAAAGACATTCAAAAGTTGTAGGGCACCGAAGAGCATTTTGTAGTGTAGCATACCTCAAATTTTTTAACATTCCTGATATTCCCCCAAGATGTCCTGTGCTATCCTTTTAGAAGGATGCCTCCATTATTTGAGAAATCTGCTCTGACCTTTCTCTTCATAAGAATTAACCAGTGAGATGGACTTATCAGGAGACAAATGCCATACCATATCCCTCCTATATTTCCTCAGAGGCCCTTGAGCACAATTTCTTTACCCATTAGTTCCTCAGCAAAAGCCTCATGTCCATCAACTCTTATCTGTAGTACCCAGTACACCACCACCTCACAAACTCCACAAATACCTGGATTTCAGATCTGCATCTGAGCTGCACTAGGATGACATGCCTACATCAGTAAGACAAGCCTCTTTTTTCTTTTTTAACTCCAGTGTTTTTATACTACCAAATACTTTAATGTACTCAGAGAACTTGTGACTTCCTGACACTAAGTCACATTCTAGCCAGTAACTACATCATTCCAATGTTTCCTCATTCCCAAACCTATGCCCATCCTGAACTCTGGAGATTGTTTGCATTAGTCTTTTCTTCATTTTAATATTTCATCCTAAGAAAGGTACTGCAGGTCAGAGACATAGGCTAGACAGTCTCAAGTGAAAGAAAGAGCCTATGTGTTAATATCATTTTAAGACTACTGCTACCTAAACTGGCTGTGTTCATTTCCCCATCTGGGCCTGTATCCCCATCCTGAATGAAAGAATGGATTAAATGATCTCTCTCAGAGGAATCCCAGTTCCAACATGATTCAATGGATTAGGGATGAACTCATAAATCAAATCTGCAAAGCATGGACCGAATAGCTTAGTGTCACCTGCATTTCCTTCACAGGAGCATGATGCTCTGGTGGAGAGGCTGCAGCCCATGGCAGGGTGCAGGCAGAGAAATCAGCAGACTTGTGGAAAGCATGTGACTGCTTGGCATTCACTGTTGTCAGGATTTATTTGGTAGAATGAAAAAATTGGGCACTGATATCCTTTGAGTTCTATTCAGCATCATAATTCTAACATATAAAGAAAGCTAACTAGAGAAAAATAGATCATCTCTGCAGATACCTTAGGGGTTGGCAGGAGCTGGTGGGCTGAGCTGGCATAGATCCAGAAGCAAGTTACAATGCAGGGATTTGCTGTCTTTGCTATGACCTTTACCTCCTTCTTATGACTCTGCTTGGTCTTGGCACCTCTTCCCCAGCGATCCCTGCAGGAACCTGAAGAAACCCTGGTTATTGCCCTGTATGACTACCAAACCAACGATCCCCAGGAACTTGCCCTGCAGCGCAATGAAGAGTACTACCTACTGGACAGTTCTGAGATCCACTGGTGGAGAGTTCAAGACAAGAATGGGTAAGGCATCTTTATGGCTCCTGTCCCAGCATTTGAGGTACAGTGGAAACGAAGAACATACCAGAATGACTTGTCCTTCCTCCCTCAGTGTGCCCACCTCACTGATGAGGAGAGGAGAGCAGAGGCAGGAGGGAGAGGAAAGGGTGACTGGAATCTTTGCTATTCTCAGAAGTGGCCGGAAGGTAGCCACTTTCTCTGCCTGCTCCCTGTACATTCCCAGCCCTAAACTCATCTGAAAACCCCCTGGGTTTTTCCACTGACTCCAGCAATTTGGGAGATTGGCAACTTGTTCTGCAAAGCACTGTTGTTCTTGAGTGTTGAAGTAAGGCTGAAGGTATATACCATTTTGAAGTGCTGATTTTCAGTGGAAAGAAAAGGTGTGTAGAGATGGTGCAGATGTGTGGTTATATCAGGAAGCATCAGAAAGAAGGTTCTGAAGATTTAGTTGTGACCACAGCCGTTGAACTATTCAATCCATTATGGGTGCAGAAAATAAAGTTGGATGAATAAATGATTGCTCACCATAGGATTTTTAAATGGAAAATGTCTCATAGCCCTTCACTAATCTGAAGTATCAAATTATTATTATTAGCCTTCAGAATGCTCTGGGATGCATTGACCTAGTTATTACTGCTTAATTTAAATGCATGAGATCCACACTGCTTTATACGGCTTTATTTTTTTCCTTTTAATTTATCTGAGGTATTTAGCCAACCCCTGCAATATTCTTCAGAATATGATTTGAATAATTGCATAGGTTAAGCACATAAATGTATCCTAATTTAGCAAATTCCTAGACATTTGGGTTATTTTCAACATTTTGCAAATAAAAAAAATTGTATTAACATTTAAATAAATATAGTTGTAGATGGACAAAGTACCTTTATTTTATTTGTTTATTTTTATGTGATGCTAAGGATCGAACCCAGTACCTTCCACATGTAGGCAAGTGCTCTACTACTGAGCCACAGCCCCAACCCCATATTTTTATTTTATTTTATTTTATTTTTTTGGCACCAGGAGGGATTGAACCCAGAGGTGCTTAACCATGGAGCCACATCCCTAGCCCTTATTATTTTGTATTTTGAGACTGGGACTCACTAAATTACCTAGGCCCTTTGCTATGTTGCTGAGGCTAACTTAGAACTTGTGATCCTCTTGTCTCAGCCTCTGTAGCCACAGGGATTACAGGTGTGCACCACCACACCTGGCTTATGTTAACATTCTTACATGTTCATATTAGGGGTTTAAATGTTTCAAGTATGAGGTTATTATTAGTTTAAAAACATGAAAAAGAACATTCCAGCATTGCAACATCTAGATAGTCTATGCCAATACTTTATTTAAAAACAACAACAACAAAAACAAGGGGATTTGGGGAGCTAAAAGGAAAAAAGTAGGGTGTAGTTTAGTGACAGACCCATTACCTAGCATGTGCTAGGCCTGGAATTTGATCCCTAGCACTGCAAATAAATAAATAATAAACTAAATAGAAAGAAATGTGCATGAAAAATAAGCTCTCCTCTATTTTCCCTCCCTATCAATTACAAACGTAATCACTATTAATACTTTCTTGTGTGTGTTGGACAAGAAAGTTATACAGATACAAATCCATCCTTTGTTCATTTGCCTTAAGATGATTCTTTCTGTCCTTTACGTTTCTTTTAAACTTTCGTGATGTATCTCAGACATCTTTTCATATCACCATATGCTAATCTACCTCTTTTAACACAATTGTACAGCGTTAGAATGTATGATAATTATAATAATTGGCTCAGTAATAGAGTGCTTGCTCACATGTGTGAGGCACTGAGTTCAATTCTCAGCACTACATATAAATAAATGAATAAAATAAAGGTCCATCCATCAACAACTAAAAAAAATTTTTTTTAATTATAATAATTTTGTAATGAACACTTATTTTCCAGGTTATTTTTCTTTGTTATTTCAAACAAGGCTATAATGAAGATTTTGCTTTGTTCATGTATGTTAGCATCTTGGCAATCTTTCCAGTGTGTGTGTGTGTGTGTGTGTGTGTGTGTGTTTGTTTATGTGTGTGTGTGTAAATACATACATATCACATTTCTAACAGTTCTGGGTCAGAGTATGTGATATCTTAATTTTGATAGATAATATCCTGAAAAAGCTTGCCAAATTCATACTCTTCCAACAGGAAGTCCCAACACTTTAAATTTTCAAAAAATAAAAATAGATACCAAGAAAGGAAGGAAGAAAAGCCAATCTGATGGGTAAAAATAGAGGGACATGAATGCATTTAAGATTAAGGCATGACTTAGCATCCACAGAAATTTACATTCTCCAGGTGTCCTCCCTTTAGGGATCCTTATCAACCCCACTGTAGGGGAAGCTGGAGGCAGAAGAAGGTAGGCAAGATGTGATCACATTGACGACTGTGGTTTGAGAGGCAGGTAGTTTAAGAACAGATCCCAAAGCTTGTCATCTGGAGCTGCCCTTTCTAGATGAATCATGGCTTCTCCCTTCATCTTCTCTTTGCCAGTTCTGGGGAGAAGCAGATAAAATCCCTGTAACTACAAACAAATGAACTTACTTAGAAAGTCATCAGTTCAATCAATGGACATTATTTATCATATCAAATGTGTCAGGGAAGTTTTTCTTCTAGGTCTTCCTTCCTCAAATGACTGTTTACCCTTTGTTCAGTGGCCTGTGGGAAGGCTCAGCTCTGCACTTCAAGGGCATTATAAAGGACTTCCTGTATAGTGTGGCACAGTGGAAAGTACACGAGACGGAAGAGAGGACTTGGACTTCAGTATCAGCCACTCTTGTCATGTGTGACTATAATCAGGTTACTTGCTCTGTGAATTCATTTCTTTATCTGCAAAATGCAAATGATAATATCAGCTTTTTTTCTCACAGTGCTGAGAAAAATCAATGAGATTATGGAAATCAAAAGAGCTTTGTAAGTTCTATATATCCACATAAAAGTGATAAGAATAAATATCATTTCAGTACATAACCCAGTTTTAGTTGGCTATTAAAATACATTTATTCTATTCAACAGCAAATATATTATTTATTCTGATAATATAATTGTAAATATATGATGTGGCAAGAAACAGGGAAAATTCTGGAAAACAATATGTAGATTACTCAAAAAAATAGGAGTGGAACCACCATTTGACCCAGTTATCCCACTCCTCAGCATACATCCAAAAGATTTAAAGTCACCATACTACAGTGACACAGCCACATCAATATTTACAGCAGCACAATTCACAATAGCTAAGCTATGGAGGCAACCTACGTGCCCTTCAACAGATGAATGGATAAAGAAATTGTGGATATATACACAATGGAATTCTAATCAGCCAGAAAGAAGAATGACTTTATGATATTTGCCAATACATGGATGAATCTGGAGACAATCATGCTAAGTGAAATCAGACAATCAAAAAAAAAAAAAACAATAACAACAACAACAACAACAAAAAAAAGGTCAAATGTTTTCAGTAATATGTGGGAGCCAAACCATAATGCAGGGGGAGTTCAGTAGACTAGACAAAGAGGAATGAAGGGAAGAGTGGGGGATAGGAATAAGAAAGACAGTGGAATTAATCTGATATAATTTTTTATGTACTTATATGAAAATACCTAAGTGAATCCCACCATTGTGTACTTCCACAACAATGGGTGCCTAATTAGAATACAATATATTCCATGCTTGTATAATTTTGTCAAAATGAATTCTAATTTCATGTATAAGTAAAAGAACCAATAAAAGAGAGAGAGAGAGAGAGAGAAGAAATGACAAATTTCAGAACAAAATGGCTTCCATCATTTGGCAATGGCTGCCAAGAGCACTATATTAAGGATGATCCTGAGGCCAAATGTCAATTCTCCAAAGAAAGTGTACCATGGTTATTTAGCAATCTCTTACTAAGATGTAAGATAATCATTCTGTATTTGGCATCTGTATTCCTGTTTTAATCATTCTTCAAAATAACTCTGTAATATAGATTACACATTCCCCTTGAAACATAATGACTAGATTGAAAATTGGCTTTATATTTAAAAATTAAAACACTTTATGGGGCAAGAAGAAAGAAAATATCAGATATCTTTTTATACATTGGCAAAGTGTGAAAGGACTCTATATGTATAATCTAGTTCAGGCATCTCATTTTATAAGTCAGAAACCAGAGAATGACAGGGATTCTGTTCTCACCTTCTGGTTTTAAATTAAATCATGGATAGGAAAGTACTTTGAAAACTACAGAACTCTTTACAAGTGTAATATATATATATATATATATTATATATATATATAAATATAATATATATATATAATATATATTATATATATGGTATATATAAGGAATACATATATACATACATATATACATATATATGATTATATATATAATTATTTTTATTATGTTTTTATCAAACTCCACATATTTCTACTGAAAAGTGACCCCCCACCCCCAAATCCAGCCTGACCTTATTCTATTTTCTCATGTTTATGTATCTGAAGAAACTCAACTAGGGAGGCCTTGAATTTAAAAGCATGTGATACAACTGGAAGTATCTTTCAGAACCTGTGGTTGGAAAGTCATTTTTAAAATTTTTAATTATGTTGGTTTCCTGACTATAAAATGATAGCACTAAAGTGGAAAAAATGCTGATAGTACACACACAAAAATGCTTCATTATAGAAAATAGAGACTGAACATTAATCTTTTTTTTCCAGTAGAGGAAATTTTGCAATGAGGACAGCAGCAAGCAAAGCTTTTAAAGTAAAATAGCCTCTTGTTATTTATTATATTTTATATTTTAGCAGTGAAATCAATTGCTTTTAACAACTAACAAGTAATTGTTACTTTTAACATTTATTTGGAAACTTTAAAATATCACAAACACTAAATTATGTGAGACTTCAACCTATAAAACCAAGATATAAAAATTCTGTATTAGTCTAAACACTAATTTCCTTTTTAACAGGCATGAAGGATATGTACCAAGCAGTTATCTGGTGGAAAAATCTCCTAATAACCTGGAAACCTATGAGTAAGATATTTTATTTGTTTTTGAAAAATATGGTACTAAGGAATTCTCCCTAGGTTAAGAGTAAAATATTGATTGATGGTTTCTTTTCTTGGCCTACTGTCTTCTTTCCATTCTCTGACCTGCTGGATGATAAAGGTCCACCCTAAATAAGAAAGGATGGTAGTCCACATGCTGCCCTCTCCTTTTATCAAAAGGGTGATTCTCAGGTGCCTGAGAAGATTGTGGTAAAAATAAAAGTTTCTATTGAGAATCCCAAGAATATTGATCTTACTTGAAAAGAAAAAAAATACTTTCAACACTAGATCAGATATGGACATAAAATATGGTTTAATGCAATGCTTCCAATACTAGGTTAACAGATAGATATTAAATATCTGTTCAGATTGTGTAAAGTTTTTGCTAAACCATCATTTAGAAGAAAGTCCGTGTGGATGTAATTTTAATGAAACTGCTGAATGTTTAACAAAATTTGATCATAATATGCAAAGTACTCACCATGTACATAAATGCCCTAGCTCAGAGCCTGAAAGGTCCAGAAGCCAAGACATCACAGTAGCAACATATACACCTACCACTAGGTCTTGATTCTTAAATAATACTCCCCACTGAAAAGAACCAGAACTTCTTGAAGAAATGGCTTCAGGATTCCAGGATTGGGGCAGGGAAAGAACAGGAATATTTTTTTGATCCAGAAAATAGAAAAGTACACAATTGAACATGTCAAATGGACAGGTAAGTCACTTTAAAAGTCTCCCTTTGACCTAAACTGGAACAATTTAAGTATCAGAATAAATAATGACAGTAATGGACTATAATTCATTGAATCAAATAAGAATGTATACTATATAGTTAGATTGATAGGTAAGTAAGTAAGTAAATAAATAAGAGAAGACTCTTTTTCATAGTCCAGGGCTAATTAAAGAACGTAGAAGAAATGATAAAGTTTAAATAACAAGGTATCAACTTATTCAGGCAAAAATTAACTAATGTCAGAACTAAATTGATGAGGTACAATATATTTACATAGTCTCAAAGTATCTCCTTATAAATAGCTTTTAACTACAAAATGAAGAAAACTGGTAGGCTTCATTTTATCTAAGTAATCAAAATTTATATCAATATGGGATAAAAAGACATCATGTATCTCCCTGTGTAATATACTGAGAATAATATCCAGTACAACATCACTCTGTGATATTCCTCACCCAGAAAATGCACAGCTTGAGTTACTCATGAGAAAATATTAGATAAATTAAGGAATATTTCCGGTGTTCTTTGGAAATTGTTGAATGAAGAGACATAGTAACTAAATGCCCCCATCCTACATTGGATGGTCAACCGTAAAATATTTCTATTGACAAATGAAATTTTGGTAGGTTCTGCAATTAGGCAGATGTTAAGTTGCAATATTTTTGTAATTTATACTTTGGCCATATAAGTGCATGTTATGTTTTAGAAAATAGACACTGAAGTACTTAGGAGTAAATATCCACTCTCAAATGGTTCAGGAAAAAAAGAAATTACTATCGATATGTATATACAGACAGAATGGAAAGGCAAATGTAAGAAATTTCAGCCACTTGTTTATCTGGGTGCAGTGTATATAGTAGTTCTTTTATAGTGTCTTTCAACTTTTCTGTAAGTTTATAATTACTTAAAACTTTTTAAAAAATTAAGTACTCACTAAATATAAGGTGCCAGAACTGAAGAATATGAGCTAATGAAGACTCTTGTTGGGCTGGGGTTGTGGCTTAGTGGCAGAGTGCTTGCCTCACACATGTGAGGCACTGGGTTTGATCCTCAGCACCTCATAAAAATAAATAAACAAAATAAAGATATTGTGTCCATGTATAATTAAAAATTATTTTTTAAAAAACACTCCTGTTAACTCAGTGTGGTCCTTGTTAGCTCAAATGGGGTCATGTTATTTGTTGCTGAAATTCTAATAGATTCTGTAGTGAAGAGTCATCATTTTCTTAAGAATCTCAACCTGAGATTTGGTTTGATCAAGTATATGCAAGATTCATTAGTTACAAGAATACTCAAGTTGAAATGAAACATATATGAGATATGTTTAAATAGAAAAAAATTATTTTTATAATCAATGTCTTTGGAGAAAAATAATAGGCATTTATTTAAAATGACCACTAAGCTGAATGGTTTCATTTATGTGTTTAATCAGAATCTCTTTGTGTAGATTGAGAAAAGAAATTAAAAATTTTAACAGAATATAAATTAGTAAGGAATGGTGGAAATTGGCCAAATAAAAAAGTGTATTCTTTCACCTAAAGAATTTTTAATAGTTTTTCAAAATAAAATGCCACACCATACAAACAAAACAGACCACTGGCCCTACTTATGCTATAAACTATCAGCTTGCATTTTTTAGGTTATAAAATCTCATATAGAAAATAAAAAGACTTATAACTAACCATCCAGATATTTAACATTCATCTAGATATATAAAAGATATTCAGTGTGATGATATTTTATCCTTGAACTTAATGTTGTCAGGTAAGCTCTGCATAAGACAAACATGTACCATGTGGTACCATAATCATAAATTGGCATATTGATTGTGGAGATATGACCTTGAACAAATACCCATTATCTGTCATACCCATTATCCTTAGGGGATATGTTTCGTGACCCCCAGTGGATGCTTAAAACCATTGGTTGTACTGAACTCTAGATATATTTTCCCACATAATCAGGCCTATGATAAAGTTTACTTTATAAATTAGATACAGTAAGAAGTTACTAATAGTAACTGATAGAATAGTAACTGACTAGAATGATTATAACAAAGTACTATAATAAAATTGATATAATAACTACTCTTTTTTTAGCTGTCAATGGGCCTTTATTGCATTTATTTATTTAAATGTGGTGATGAGAATTGAATCCAGTTCCTGACACATGCTAAGCAAGTGCCCTATAACCCCAGCCCCAATAACTACTCTTGCACTTTGCGGCTATCATCAAGTAAAATAAAGGTTACTTGAACATAAAACACTTAAGATACTGTAGCAGTTTATCTGATACCAAGACAGCTAGTCATTTAGTAGTGGGTAGTGTATACAGTGTGGATACTCTGGGCAAAGAGAAAATTCACCTCCTGGATGAGATTGAATAGTAAGTATGAAATTTCATTATGCTACACAGAAAAAGCACACAATTTAAAACTTGAGTTATTTCTGGAATTTTCCATTTAATATATTTGGACTACAGTTGACCATGGGTAAGTGAAATCACAGAAGGGGAAAGTACAAATGAGGCACTACTGTACTTCACCTGTTGGAGCGCAGATCTCTTCTCTGCAAAATGAAGGGTCAGACAAGATGAAGGAGGCAAATTGTGACACACTTGCTTGATGTTCCCTCCCTCTGAACTGAATTCAAGTAGATCTCACTCTTTGATAATGACCCTATTCACCCCTGTGCCTAGGCTGACTTCAAACCTTACAATGCACAGCTCTAGGCAGCCATTTCTAATTGCTTGGTGTATACACATGAAATAAGCATAAAAGCCCATGGAGGTATAAAGTCCATTCCACCATGTTTACAAGACTCAAATCAATCTAACAATTCTCTTATCCATTGTTATTCTTGTAGCCAAGCAAGTTTATTCCTTCCACACCTAGAATTTCTGTTTTCTGGATTAATTGTCAAATGAAGATCATTTTACTCCTACCAAATAAGTGGCGGGGAAGGTCAGGACATGACTCAAAATTATAATAACATTCAAAAATTTATTCCCTAAAAATTATACATATTTTTCTTCACCACTTTTTATTTGTTTTCTTAATCAGATACCAAAATTATAAAAATAATTCAATTATTTTACAAAAGATCTGGAAAACCTGTCTTAAAGAGGAAAATGTGGCAGTTGTTTTAGAAGGATATTTGCTAACTTCTCAAACTGGTATTAGCTTTTTATAGCTACCCGAACACCCTCCTACTCCTACCACCCACTGACTTATGAAATGGAGAGGAAGACGAATATTCTCTAAAACTTCATTATGGAAAATTTATGACATTTACCAAAGTAGAGAGAATAATATAATGAATGCTCTGAAATCCAGTTTCAACAATGATCAATATTTTACCAATTCTGTTTTATTTTTTCTTCACCAAGTAAATATTTACTACTTGGAAATGGATCATGACTTTGCCTCTGAGTTTGAAAACACTAGTAGAAACAAAAAATGTACATGTGATTTTCTAGCATTATTTTTTTTAATTTTAATTTTTTATTTGCTCTAATTAGTTATACATGACAGTAAAATGCAGTTGTATACTTCGATACATAGGGTATAATTTCTTATTTTTCTGATTGTACCTGTTGTAGAGTCAATCAGTCATGCAGTCATCTAGCATTATCTTTTATAAATAAATAATGAAACCATTTTAAATGTTATTGACACAGCACCTTTGCTTCATTCAGGTGGTATAACAAGAGCATCAGCCGAGACAAAGCTGAAAAACTTCTTTTGGACACAGTAAGTCTCCTTCATCTTTAAGTCTCTTGACTTAAAATAAAATAAATTTCACTGTTTTTCCAGCCATGCAGTGGTTGACACCAAGGCAGTGGATTGACATGTCAGATTAGCAATGGCTTTCATATCTGGTGACAAATGTTCTGAGGATTTGCAGAACTAGCAACTATAGGAAAGAGGGATGAGAAGAGATGAAGCATAGTATGGAGGAACAAGTACTGAATTTGGGCCCATGTTCTGTCACCAATTCAGTGTGTGACCCTGGAGACATCCCTCTTCTTTCTGAGCCTTAACGAGTATAAGGAAACAGTGCACTAAATCAGTTACCCCGTACTCCTGCTACCCCTCTGCTCCTGGTCTTGTGGACACTGTTGACCACAGCACCTGGCTTTGGGGTTCAAGGGGAAACAAGACAAGTTCTGAAGAAAGACTCAGAGGATGGTCTAAGGTAAACAAGTAAACGCTGCAGGAATTGGGAAGAATTTTGTGGAGAAAGAAGAATTTAGTTGAGTCCTTATCAAATTTGGTTACTCTTTGGTTCTATGTCAATTCAGCACTTAATCAGTTTCTGTGGTTCCCTATGGAAAACGTGCTAGAATTGCTGTAAATGTTTAAAACAAACAAACAACAACAACAAAAAAGATTCCCCAGGTCTCATTCCTATTCCAGATCTGCAGAATCAGAATCTTCAAAGTTAGGTCCCAGGAATCTATATTTTATTTCAAGCCAAATTCACAATGCTTTTGTAGCTGCTCAGCATCTGGACCTACCCGCCAACCTGTGTTATTGAAAAACATATTAAAACCTGGCTAATCAGAACTAATTAAGAGATGGCACAATTAATTAAAAACCTGAGGTAAACAAGGGCAGTTTTAAACAAAGGCAGTTTTATTATTTTCAACCACACATTGGTTAATGAAGTCTACACAGCACTTCAAACAGCTCAGAACAATGACTAGATAAAGATGATTTCTGTTTTATAGCAGTCCTTTTGAGGCACTTAATCCATTTTTCTTGCTCAAGTACTTAAAAAAATTCCTCCTTACTAGTATTTTGAACTCCTTTGCCAAATTCTCTTCTCCTCCTTTGATAAATCTGAGGGTAAATTGTAGTGAGTCCTGTCAGATTTAGTCCAGATTCTGGACAACTAGAATTGAATGAAAATTTCTTGCCATATTTTGCATTTCTTCTCTGCTGTTTGAAACAATAGCCATATTGTTTTATAGATGTACTTAGAGTCTTCTTATCTAACAAGTTAGGGCTCTCAAGATATGAATTGTTTCATTTCAGTTTTTATTAGCTAAAGCTTCTAGTGTATAGCCCCATACAGTTTTCTACACTGAAGTATAAACCCTTTATCATGTTCCTTCTGCATTGTTGTACCCAAAACTTTATCTTGCACAAAGTAGCTTCTCAATAAATTTTGTTGGATGCATAAATGAATATATCAAATGCTTAATAAACTTGAGAACCTGGCTGATCATGAGCATCACTGGGAAAATTTTTTAAAAACCCAAACTCCTGGACTCCAGGACTCTAGGCCTAACTAGTCAGAACCTCTAGAGGTGATACCCAGGTGATTCTGGGACTTAACCATATTTGATAACCACTAAAAAGAATCTCCTCAGTGTCCTGTCATTTCTTCAAATGTTGCCTCCTCCAAGAAGCCTCTTAGGCCTCTCTTTCCCTATTCATTGGATGTGGTTTCTCTCACCTTCTAACCTCATGACACACTGTTCTTACTTCTCCAGTGGCTCTGTTCTCACTCTGCCTTAGAGCTCAGCAGTTTCTCTTCTGTTTCAACAAATCTAGGTAGGTAGAGGGTGTGTCGTTCCTTGCAAGCAGGTGCCCCGTAACTCACTTAGTACACCTTGCAGAGAGATCTCACACATTGGATGTCCCCAAATTCAGACAGGAGCTCTGTCTAAGGCCTCAGTTCATCATATTTGCATGAGTCTAAGATGTCAAAGATAGAGTATTGACTTAATAACAGAAGTGTTTCAACAGAAGAAATTAAAACTAGCTACATATCAGAGACACTCTTAAAGTTAATGCAATGTGACAAGGCCATGAATCATCAGTCTGTCTTTTGACAATTTCTTACCATTGTGCTGACCTTATTTGCTATAAGGTCCCCTTAAAATTGCACAGAAAAAAAAGAAAAATACTCCTAACACAGTCAGCATGTCTCAGATAACGACAGACAATAGAATTCAAGCTTCCAACAGAGGATGCACCATAGCAAGTAATAATAATGGCCAATAAGAACCCTCATAGGCCTGATTCTGGGATCCTATTGCAGGAATATGATTATATTCTATATACTTAATTCTTCTGGCAGCTTTGCAAAAACCATTTTGTAGATGAGGAAATTGACTCTCACACACTTAATCAGGAAAGATCTGGAATTCACAATTTTATAGACTGTTAGAATTCCTCTTAAAGAGTATGTATCACAGCTGGGTGCAGTGGTAAATGCCTGTAATTTCAGTGGCTTAGGAGTTTGAGACAGGAGGACTGTGAGTTCAAAGCCAGCTTCAGCAATGGCAAGGCACTAAACAATGCAGTGAGACCCTGTCTCTAATAAAATACAAAATAGGACTGGGGATGTGGCTCAGTGGTCAAGTGCCCCTGAGTTCAATCCCTGGTACCCACCCCCCCCCCCCCAAAAAAAAAGTATCTGGCCTGTTTTCTTTGTATAAAATGCAGATAAACCGAGTTTAGTGACATGTTCTGGACTAAAGCAGGGATGCTTTTTCTCTCTCTCTCTGTCTTTCACCCCCCCCCCACACACACACACATACACACTGAGTTAATAATATATGATCTACTTTCTATTCTCCCATCACACCAGGGTCACATAAATATTTCATCTCCATGGAATATTTTTCTATTTTGACCTTTTAATTTTCTTCAATAAAGTAGTAGAAAGTAAACTGAGACCTTCTGTATTCTTCAGGGGAGTGAGAACCCCCCCCCCCTCTGGCAGCATTGCATAAGCCAATGCCCCCTTGCAAAGCTGAGATAGAAGTGATCCAGTGTTCTTGGTGGCTGTAACTACCTCTGAGCTCCCTGCAAAAAGTACCTGGTAAAGCACATGCTGGGGACCTCTCATTTCTTGCATCTCTTGGCTGCCTCAGCCCCAATCCAGAGTCCTTGTCACTGTCACTGAATGCCACCCACAGCTAATGTGGAAGAAAAAATATGTTTAAAAGGTGAACCTTCCATGCTCAGCAGAGCGACTGCAAACATTACCTCTCCTTTTTCCAGGGCCTATGGAACATTTCTTCTTAACAGCTGAGCTCTAATGCAATTACAAATTTTTCTCAAAAAAAAAAAAAAAAAAAAAAAAAAAAAAAAAAACCACTGGCTTTTTTGGAAGAATAATGACATCAATAAGAACTCTTCTTAATTAGATGGGAGAGATGTTCACATAACCTCTGTTCACAGATACTTGAGAAATGTCTGATCTTTTTAGTCTATGTGTCTTCCCCTTTAGAAAAAGTTACAATTCAGATACAGTCTGCTTCTGCTCAGAGTGTGATTTTTTTCTGTCTTGAGTTTAACCTATTGCATTATAATAAGTCAAGAGCAAAAGCTATTTGCAAAAGAGAAAAAATTGAGCACAAGCTGTAGCTACCTGCAAGACATGGATAATACCCCAAAACAAGGTGGAGCAAAAAAATTTAGACAAATTCTCTATTCACGGCAGTCAATGCCTATCAACTGATGAATGGATAAACAAATGTGGTATATCCATACAACAGGATATTATTTAGTCAGAAGAAGAAGTGACCTACCATTGTCTGCTACTACTTAGATAAACCCTAAAAACAACATGCTAAGTGAAAGAAGCCCACACAAGACCGCATATTATATGATTCCTTTTATACAAAATGTCTTGAATAGACAAATCTATAGTCAGAATTTAGACTTTGTGAAAGACATGCAGATGGGACCAAGATTTCTTTGGAATGATAAAAGCGGTCTAACCTTAGATTATAGTGATGGTTGCACAACTCTGGAAATTTACTAAAAACCATTTATACACTTAAAATGGCATGTATTTGTGGCATGAATGTTGTGGCATGTAATTTATGCCTCAGAAGATATTTTTGAAACAAATGAACTAAACTGGAGATTTTGATGTCCCACTACTTCAGAAACTGAACAAAACTATTGACCTAAAAGGGATAAAAATCTTTGAAAAATAAATTTTTAAAAGTATGATTTTAAAACATAAGTTAAAAGAGTCTTTAACAATTCATTGGATAAACAATTTACATTCTACATTCCTATGTGAGAGAAAAAATATAAGAATTTGGTTAGGACTCCTCTTATCATGCCCCAGGGCTGGCACAGAGCACATCATAGAGAATAGTTCCACAAAGGAGTCTGATGATGTAAGCAGGATGGCATTAGTGTTTTCCAAAGGTTTATAACTCATTCTTTTGAATTTAAAAAAAAACTGACATGCAGAATAATACACAAACCTTAGTCCTTAATTTTCATTGTATTGTAATTAATTTAGTCAACAAATACTTTTCCATCTGCCCTGTGATTTCTTCCTCATTTAAACTCTCACAATTTGTTTTAACAGGTTCATGTATTTTCATTTAAAAGATTTTCATCTACTTGATTTTAAGTTTGTTAGATGTGTACCTTATTGTCTATAGCAGTCTTTCCCATCACTTAATAAATCCTTATTAAAATACATGAACATTAAAAAATAATAATTAAAATAAACTCAATGTGTGACAAAGACGAAATACTAGATTACCTTAGGAAAAAGAAAGGTAGTAACTTTCTTATTTCCCTCAATTCTTCCCCTGCTTTCAGGCAGCAGTGAGGGCAGCCCAAGCTCACTGCCTTAGAAAAGGAAGGCTACAAATGAAAAGCAGAGAGCAAGTCTGAGCTTCCCATTCCAAAATAGTCTACTGAGAGACTTCAGCAGAGGAGCTTGGGAGTTTCAGAATTCTGACTTTGAGTACTCATACCCAGAGTTCATGTGGGAATCTATAGGTTTGGCATGAATATACAATGATACAAGGACCAATTGTCCCCCACCCCACGTCTGTCCTCCTGCAGGGTTCTAGTCAAGTTACCAAAAGCAGAGTATACCTCTGTACAAGCATAAGGACAAACTTTGTAACTATCAGCACGATTTTGGGAGTCAGGGACTGCTGGTGTGACTGGTATAAAGAGAGTATGGTTGTTCAGGGAAGTTAGTAAGCACCAAACTCCATGGTTCATAAAGTTACACTGCAAAATATAAGAATTTTAAAAGTTCAGGTGCCAAGGTGAGCATGCTGGAGGTCTGGGCACATAGGTGTAGGCAGGGAGCTGCTCAACTATTTGCTGTTATGTTATGTTGCTCCTCTGTGCTTTAAGTTTTTCAGCTAGTTGAAATAATGAACAAAGTTTGGGACACATGGTTTAGGGAGCTGAATTAGGTCAGTGGTTCTCAAGTGTTTGTGCATGCACCTTGGGAGTGGAGGATGGAGGGGTTTGTGTTGGTTTGTGTTGTGTCTACTTTACTCTGTGTACTACATGCTATGCTGTTTGCACCAGACCCTAGTGTAACTCTAACCTTCTCTCACAACTCTCATCATGTCTAAGTGAGTCATAATAGGCTTTGCAAATGTTACCAATGCAGAGTTTTAGCTGGGTAGGAGCATAATGTTAGGCATGAAGTACTTATAATGAAATTCAGATTTTAAAATCCCAATCAGCAATGAATATTCAGATTTTAAAATCCCAACCAGCAATGAATACACTGGCATATCCATTTGCTTGTGCTTAATTTTATTACTGCTAGCAAAATTGTCAGAGTGATGAAAGGCTTATTCTCAGGCACTCCCTTCTCCCCACCTCTTTCATGAAGCCAGGAATTTAAAATCTTTCTGCCCTTCAGCAAAATCAGTACACTGGAAGTGGTCTGGGAAATATATTCCCATTAAGGAACTGATGGAACTTCCAGGAGAGGTAGTTTTATTCCCTTATGAAGGACTGAGGAAGTGGCACCAAACATCCATTTGATGGAGGCCTTATGGAGCAGTAGAACAGGCTGATGTACCACAATTTAAATCCCAACTCTTTAGCTGGATGGTGGCACATGCCTATAATCCCAGAGGCTTGGGAGGCTGACAAAGGAGGATCACAAGTTCAAAACCAGCCTCAGAAATTTAGTGAAGCCCTAAGCAACTTAGCAAGACCCTGTCTCAAAACATTTTTTTTTTAAAAAAAGGCCTGAGAATGTGGCTCAGTGGTTAAGCACCCGTGGATGCTTAACCACTTAGCCGCAATCCCTGGTACCCAAAATAAATGAATGAATGAATAAATAAATAACTTTGACACTTACTAGTTGTGGGTCATGGGAAAGCCAACTCAGCTTTCTGGCACTTGATGTCCTCCTTGGGACTAGAAGATAATAATGTCTAGACTGCAGTGTTGTGGTGAGGGTTGGAAATTACCTGCAGAGTCTGGTAGGTAGTGAGCCCTCAGAAGGCAGAGCTTGTGTCTGTTTTATTCACCACTAATGTCAGTCCTAGCGTAGTCTTTGATTCATGGAGGGTCAAGAAATAGTAGCCATTGTTACTGAAAGTCTGCTCTGTTCTGAATAGTTCTTCCTCCTTCCATAATCAAGAAAATGGAGCTGCATGGCTGAGCCTGGCTTCCAGAGATCACTGACCTTCTATCCTTTAACACATTCTAGGGCAAAGAAGGAGCCTTCATGGTCCGAGATTCCAGGACTCCGGGAACATACACGCTCTCTGTTTTCACCAAGGCTATTGTGAGGTACGGTGCTGTCTCTGCTCAGAAGAATAGGAGAGACACTTCAGAATAGGGAGAGACACTTCAGGTGTGGGGTAATATAGAGCAAAGTCACAGGTAGAGGTCCACTAGAAATTGTGCAGCTTCCCCTGTTCTCTCTAGGAGAACCAAGGCCAAAGGGGCCAGGAACAGAACTGAAGAGAGTTAGAAAGGGACAGAGCTTTGGCTGGACCCCTGGTACTCCCCTGGTTAGCTCTGCCATTAGCAGAGCTCTAAAAGAAATGAAATATTTGCATTTGATGAATATATTATTTAATACACAGAGTAACAGAAAAGATAATTTCCAACCAAAAGCAAAAATATGTGAATTCCAATTCTGGATCTTCTAATAAAACTCTCCACATTTATTGAGGCCTTACCAAGTGCCAGGAACTTGACAGACCATTTCAATCCTGAGAATCCCTGAAGGCAGAAACTGCCAAGCTCACTTCACACAGAAGAAACCAAAGCTCAAAAAGCACCTATGCCAACGGGGCTGACAGGGCAAACCCTCTTCATGCTCCAGCCAAACTGACTGCAAGACACTCACTGCTTAGCTGCCCCCCACCCTCGCCAGTCTCCTTCTTTGTAAAATGATGTCTAAGAGCTTATCTAGGTCTCAAATCCTCTTCTAGTTAGAAAATTGCTAAGCACTTTGGCAATAACCAAAAATGCAATAAACATTAATAGAAAAATAATCTTCAAAGTGTCCTAGGGATGTTTATTGGAAGTCAGAGGCCTGAAAGTCCATAAGATATGTTGGACAGAAATGAGAGGTCAAGTCTGTGTTGGGGTTCATTGATTCACTAGGAAGACACCCCCTGCAATACTGCTAGACAACATTTATTAAGATTTAACATAGCAGACGGATAGAAGGCAAAGTCAGACAAGGGAGAGGCACATAGAGCCAAGTCCGGAGAACACCAAACACAGCTTTCAAGATCTTCTCCCAGTGGGGTCACACAGGATATGCTTTGTTTCTCCAGCAAGGAGTTGTTGCAATGTGGTGAAGTATGGCCCACCAGAGGATCCAGGAGAGACTCAGCACCCAGGATTTTATTGGAGGCAATTTAAGTAGGCACCCTGTGCCTAGCATATACCAAAATCCCAGACTTCCAGAAGGAGAGCTTACATTCTGCATAAGCCACACTGTAGTACATATTTTAGTCATATCCTGCCACCCTCAGCAGGTTAGAGAATGGCGAGAGCCCTCCTGAATTTCCAAATACCTGCCAAGGGCTAACTCTGCAAGCAGGACTTTCTTAGGATGGGAGCCAGGCCTACTCTGTCAATTCTTCTGCTCAAAGTCAAATAAAAGTTAAGAGGCCAGAGCAGTGTACATTGGTACACTCCTGTAATCCAGCAGCTGAGGGAGGCTGAGACAGGAGAATGTCAAGTTCAAAGTCAGCCTCAACAACGGTAAAGCACTAAGCAACTCAGTGAGACCCTGTCTCTAAATAAAATACAAAATAGGACTGGGATGTGGCTCAGTGGTTGAGTGCCCCTGAGTTCAATCCCTGGTACCCCCGCCACACACACACAAAAGTTAAGGGGCCAGAGAGGCTTTGTCAACAGACACTGTTGACAGTCAGCTAATGACATCTATATCACCAGTCCTCCACTTTGAAGCTGTGAAAGAAACAATCAATCCATCCAATGCTGTTGCCAATAGGATCTAGGCGCAGCCCCAGAGTACATTTTAGCACAACACTGGGGGCGCCAGGACCAATCTGTCAAGGGAATACACAAGTTGAAACACTGTATCTGCCATCCTTGTGAGAAGTTAGGAAAAAAATAATAATAAGAAAGGGATGCCAGTAGACACTTGGTGTCTCAACATTGCTTCTGTGTTTGATTTGTTTAAAGTGAGAACAACCCCTGTATAAAGCATTATCACATCAAAGAAACAAATGACAACCCCAAGCGGTACTATGTGGCTGAGAAGTACGTGTTTGACTCCATCCCTCTCCTCATCAATTATCACCAACACAACGGAGGAGGTAAGTGCTAGCAGGCAGAGCCAGAGAGGGACCCAAACTTAGAAGTGACAAGAGCGCTACCTGGTTTCTCCATGCCAGATGAGCTGGCCATAAATAATAACTGAATACACAATTTTAAAAGGATGCTGAGTATTTGATTCATCTCACACATTTCATGAGCAAACTCTACTATGGAAATCATGAATTTCACCCCCACCCAACTGTGTTGTGAATCTTCTCAGGATGCAATATCAGCAACTGGACTTTGGTTTTTTTTTTTGTTTTTGTTTTTTTCTAAAATAAAAGTAGCTCTCGCATCAGATTTTTTCTGTTGTGATTTAACTTAGAAAATTGCTAGAGCAAAGTTCTAACCATTGCCTTTGGCTTTTCAATTGACCTAGGCCTGGTCACCCGACTCCGGTATCCAGTTTGTTCCTGGAAGCAGAAAGCTCCTGTCACAGCAGGGCTGAGATATGGTGAGTAGCACCATTGGTAATGTTGGGCCTTTGAGCTACAACTTGAAAGGTCTGGGGAAAATTCTAAGTGGACTTCCCATGAGCCTAACTGTACCCCAGACTTCAAATGACCATCCAAACAGCTATACTGTATATGTGTAGACAGCAGCACTAATGAACATTTGAACTTTGCAGTGTGTGTTGGAGGAGTGATTGTCTGACAGAACATTCATCTAGATCAAATCAATATCCTTTGGTTTTACTGAGTCCATCAATGAATGTTTATTTTGCAAGAACTTTGATCTTTCTGCATGCAGTATTAAAAGTTTTTTAGAACTGAGAGTATAGCTTGGTGGTAGCACACACCAGGCTCTAGAGTTGATCCCAGCACCAAAACCAAACAAATAAAGAATTTTTTAAAAAATATTTTTAAATGTATTTTATTTACATATTTTTTAATTTTTGAAAAAAAATTAGATGTTGATGGACCTTTATTGTATTTATTTATTTATTTATATCTGGTGCTGAGAATTGAACCCAGTGCCCCACACATGCTAGGCAAGCACTCTAACCACTGAACCACAACCCCAGCCCCTACATATTTTTTATCTGGTGCTGAGGATTGAACCCAGTGCCCCACACTCACTAGGCAAGCACTCCACCACTGAGTCACAACCCCCACCCCGCAAAACAATGTTATACCTTCAACAGAGTATGCACTCTAATGTAGCAGACCCTACAATGATCCCCTCCTGTCCGCTGTAACTTCTTCACCCGTTTGGGATTATCTGCCTGAAACCTGAAGGCATCTGAGTGTGTATCTCTTGGTCCAAACTGTGTGTTACTTGAGGAAGCAGTTGGTCTAATCTTCATTTTGTATCTCCTAGATTGGTGGTTCTCAAACTTTAATGTGCATCAAAATCTTCTGGAACACTTATTCAAAATGTTGACTTCCTGAACCCTAGGCAACACTTAGCACAACATGCTCCCTGAGAGTGGGTGTCTGGGGTCTGCATTTTAAAAAGTGTTCTAGGTGACTTTGACACAGGAGCCCAGGGGTACTTTGAGAAACTCTGCTGTGGACTCTTCATTCCTAACCAGCAGCATGTCTGGTTCACAGTAGATACTCCATACTATTTGCTATGGAGTCTCTGCCTCCAAGAGGTGGAGATCTGGCTGTTTATGGTATTAGAAAAAACATTGGTATAGGATAATACTTCTCTATCCTCCTTATGAAAACCATGCTATTCTGATAACTATAGAATCCTAAAGTGTCCATGCTGGTTGGGATCTCAGAGATCATCTGGTCAGCCTACTCCTTAGGAAAACTGAGGTTCCGATCCTTTTGTTTGCTTACTGAACATTTATTGAGAGCCTGCCATGTGCCAGTCACTGTGCCAGCTTGTGCCTCTGTAGAAGGCCCCTCTGAATCCCCTCTTTCACTGCCATTCTGCCTAAAGCTTAGCAGTGTGCTGTGAACATAGCAGATGCTTTCGATGGGTGAATGGATGATGAGTGATAAATACAAATGAAATTTGTTCTATGTGAAAAACATTTTAGGAAATGGCTGGGACTTTGCAATAATCCATTTATGTATTTTTCTTTATAGCTTCATTATTGCAAATCTTCTTCTTTCCATGTTACTGCCACCTATGCATTTTTAATAGTTTTAAATGTATATTCTATGCTACTATTTGGGATAAAGGGTAATTAGCTATAGTAGTTCTAAGGCTAGGATTTATACCATGTGCTATCTTTGAGTTATATTATACATAAGGTAAAGTTCTAGGTAGAGCTATGATGTTCTCTGGTAGCCCCTGTTCCTTATTATTTGCCCTAAAAATCAAGTGCCACCCTCCTCTCTCTCTTCAGGGAAATGGGTAATCCATCCCTCGGAGCTCACTTTTGTGCAGGAGATTGGCAGTGGACAGTTTGGGTTGGTGCATCTTGGCTACTGGCTCAACAAGGACAAGGTAGCTATCAAAACCATTCAGGAAGGGGCGATGTCAGAAGAGGACTTCATAGAGGAGGCTGAAGTCATGATGTGAGTGGTAAAAGAAGCACCTGCAGACACCCTGTGAAGCATGCCCTGGGCTGTGTTCTTTCAAACCCCTCTGACACCACATCATACCGCCTACCTTCTCAAACTCTGGTAGTGGCTTCCCACTGCACCGCAAATAAAATGAACTGCCTCACATGGTCTCCAAGGTCTGCCATGGTCTGACCCTGCACACCTCCCAATCTTCTCCCCGTCTCCCCTCTGCTCCATAACATGCCAGTTATGCTGGCCTCTATTCATGTCCACACATACCCTGACTCCATGTTATCCTTCAGGTCTTGGCTCCACTGACATATTTCTTTTGGGGGGAGGGTGTGGATTCTGTTTTCAAAATCAAGAGTCAGACAAGGTGACAATTCAGCAACAGAAGGTTTGGCACTTTGGGATACTGGATTTTGGCTATTATCCTTGTCTTTTGTCTCCAGGAAACTCTCCCACCCCAAACTGGTTCAGCTCCATGGAGTGTGCCTGGAGCAGGCCCCTATCTGCCTTGTGTTTGAGTTCATGGAGCATGGCTGCCTGTCGGATTACTTGCGCAGCCAGAGGGGACTCTTTGCAGCAGGAACCTTGCTTGGCATGTGCCTGGATGTGTGTGAAGGCATGGCCTACCTGGAAAAGGAGTGTGTCATCCACAGAGATTTGGTAAGAGCATGCATGGCCAACACCAGCAGGTGCAGGGTGAAGGGCACATCCCATTGAAATGTAGGGTTAGCAAGACTGAGAATGTATTAATAAATGACAGGTCACAGATCACCTCCCTTCCTCTCTCAGCTTCTTCCTTTCTCCACCCACTGGTCCTATAGAAAAGTGTTTCATGAGGACAGATGTGGGCTCTAATCCCCGCCTTCCTATAGTTTATGCTCTCTGAGTTTCATTTTGCATGCTTCCAAAATGGAGCTAATGACCACTCCTTCTGATCTTCTTTGCCTTAGTTTTGTCCTGGTAAAATGAGGGAAATGGACAAGCACAGTTTTTCTTAAAGTGTTATCCACCATCTACCAGAATAACATTAGAATAACCCTAGGCCACGTCAGAATCTCTGGTTTTGGGGGATCAGGAATATTCATGTGTTTCCCCATGTGATTTCAAGTTTGAAACTCACTGGAGTCTTTAGTCTCCAAGGGTTCTTCCAGTGCAGCGTCTGTTTCTCCCTATTAAGGAATAACTTTAAGATGATCAACAACCTCAAAAACTTCTTATACTAAGCACATAGGAAACAGTTTCTTCATATCATCCCTGGTGTCAATATTTTCTTTCACATGGGTTTGGTATCAGGTGGAACCTATCTTTGGTTAGACAACACTGTGGATTTCTTAGAATCCAGAAGTGAAGATAAGCCTGCTCATCCTGTTAAAGGATTAACTTTCTAGCAAACTTGCAGCAGGTGCTTGTGAAGCTTAATTAACATTTGAGCTCCTCCATGCCCTCTTACAACATACCACAGAAAGGCACAGACTGATGGTGGGAAACTCCTGGATTACTGCCTAGCCACCAACAGTTCTCTTTTCTCTTTTGTTGGCCCATCTCTTCTCCAGGCTGCCCGAAATTGTTTGGTGGGAGAAAACCAAGTCATCAAGGTGTCCGATTTTGGGATGACAAGGTAACACAGGGACATGGTACCTGCACAATGTCAGCAGTAGTACTGAGGCCCCTGAACATTCTGATCTCTCTATTCTGTGCTCTTCTCAGGTTCGTCCTTGATGATCAATACACCAGTTCCACAGGTACCAAATTCCCAGTGAAGTGGGCTTCCCCAGAAGTGTTTTCTTTCAGTCGCTATAGCAGCAAGTCAGATGTGTGGTCATTTGGTAAGTGTCATCCAGGCCCCACCCCCATGTGATCTAGGACTGTGGGAGACCAGCTATTTCCTTAGTCAGATGTAGATAACTCTACCTGCCCTGATCCCTGTATGTTGAGGGAATCCCACTGAAGGCCTATGTAAGAACAGCCCAGAAATATATGAAAGAGCCCTTATTATTGTATTTGCTCCTAGAAATTTTTGAAATGGCAGAGAGAGAAAAACAAAGTGAAAAGCAAAATTCTGGTAGCAGCTACTACTAGGTCAAAAGCCCAAAGACTCAGGAGATTAGAATATAAATTTCTTGAAGGCAGGGACTATGTTTTGTCCAATATTATACCACCACACTTAACCTCAATAAGTATTTTATTCATTCAACAACAATTTTTTGAGTAATCTGCCATTCACCAGGGGCTAATTTGGTGCACAGGCTGTAATGGTGCATAAGATAGAAGCCAAATTTTAGGGAGGTGAGGAAACAACAATAACATAAAGAAGCTAAGAGATACAAGAATTAGTAAAATAGGGGTTAATAAGTGCTACAAATAAAATAAAACAATAATGGGATAGATCTGCATTAGCTAGTATGCTCTGGGGAAGGGCTCTGTGAAGGCTAACTCTTGAGCAAAAAGTTACATGATGAGAGAAAACTGTCACAATTTAAAGGACCAGGGAGCAGTGTCTCTGACAGAAAGCCCAGCAAGTGCAACAGCTGAATATGTCCCCAAAGCAGGGGGTAATGATTTCTTGGAAGAACAGAACACAATGAAATTGCAGGTCATAGTAAGGAATTTGAATTTCTAAAAAGTGTAAATGGGCACGAATAAATGAATGAAGCCAGTGTAGTGGGAAAAGCTAAATGTTCTTCCTGAATTTGTCATGTCAAATCAAGTCAAGGTTAGTGCATACTAAAGATGTGCACAAAACTACACCAGATGATCTCTTCAATTTGGATTAAAGTAAGGATTATCTTTTGGATAGGAACTGTTCAGAGTGGTCTTGCCATTCTGCACCAAGGGCTTGCTAAGAATTTACTAATCATAGAAACAAGGGGGATCCTGGCTGATTAAATGTCTAAGGAAAGTACCAGTTTTAAAACCTTTAGCATTATAGAATGTCTATTTCTGAGCACTGAGTAGTTTGTTAATTATTAGTCCTTTTGATTTCTGCATTAAAGCAAATCACTATTCAGTAGTTTTAGCTGCTACTTTGTTAAGCAGGTTGAAGTTATAGAATGAACTTGGAAGAAGTTGTCCTGACTTCATTCTTGGAGACTCTTCTCTGCCCAGAGCATATAACTAGGAAGGATAAGGCTAATATATGGTCATTTCTCTGTAGATGACAAAGCTGATCACACTGTGCCAAGCTGGGGCCACACAAAGAGATGTTTGAAGCAATGACCACACTGGCACCTTCATCTTCTGATTCTTATTCATCCACAGGGTGTCACCTGGGAATTTTCTGCTACATTTTCTAATTAGAGGGTTAGGCTGAAATGCTCCCTCCCTGTGATGGGTTATCTAAAGAGCGTCCAGAAATAAGGTTGATGGATGGGTACAGAGTATAAATGGTTCAGTGAAGAAAAGTGTGAGAAAACTGGGGTGGCAAGCCTGAGCGGCAGAGACCTGGATGGGCTGAGCTTCCTGCCTGCCCCAGCCCTTTGCACTTTGTCATTAAATACAATTTTTGCCCTAATTAGCCAGGCTATTTTGAGCAAGTTAAGTAACCTCTTTGAGCTTCACTCAGTTTTCTCATCTACACATTAGAACATTTGTATTAAGCAATAGTTTCCAAGTCCTGCCTTAGCAGCAACGCTATGCTTTCAAAAGAAATCTCATGAGAAATTCTGGCATCTCAGGGTGCTGAACAGTCTTCTTTATGGCTCAGCACTTCCAACTCCTCAGGCACCTCTGGGGAGCCCCTGAATTCTCTGAGCCAAGGACTCTGAGCTGGCCATTTTAACAAGCTTCTGAGATGATCCTTATTCAGGTGTTGGGGGCTCACACTTTGGGAATTTCTGCCTCAAGTTTCTAGAACTCATCTTGAAAACACTAGGTTAGGTGATATGTAAGCTCCTTCTGGTTCCGGTGGCCTGTGGTTATATTAGTATGATATAAAGCCCTGGTTGGGTATGGCCATTCTACAGAGGGCAGAAGGGCAAATGGGATTAAATCAGAAGTCAAAAACAGACAACCTGAACATGTGTTTTTCCTAGTTTATATAGTACAGGTTGAGTATCCTCATTTAAAGTACTTGGGACCAAAAGTGTTTCAAATTTCAGATTTTGGAATATTTTCATATACATAATGAGTTTTCTTGAAGATGAACCCAAATCTAAACACAAATTTATTTGTTTCATATGCATTTTATACACTTAGCCTGAGGGTGACTTTATACTTTATATATATATATATATATATATATATATATATATATATACACACACACACACACACACACACACACACATTTGTGTTGGGAGGGTACTGGGGATTAAACAATGAGACACTTTACAATTGGGTTACACCTCCAAGTATTTTTATTTTTTAAATTTGAGATAAGGTTTGCTAAATTGCTGAGTTTGACCTTGATCTTCCTGCCTCAGTCTTGAAATGCTAGGATTGCAGGTCTGTGTTATTGCACCCAGCTATATTTTTTTAATGACTTGTACATGAAACAAAGTTTCATGATGTGGAATTATCTGCTTGTGGTTTCATGCCAATACTCAACAATTTGATTCTGGTACATTTGGATTTTTGGTTCAAGGATGCTGGACTTGCATTTTAAAAAATCATATTGAGTTCACGTTTTGAAGTCTCCAATTTCTGATTTGTTTTTAAAGATCAGAAAATGTGACAATCCTGAGCTCTGTTTCCATGTGCATCCTTTAGCTGGAGCAAACCATAGCCATCCTATTTTGATAGAACTTTTGATGTCCAGTTTTCCAGTCCTCACCAGTACCCATGGTGTCACATCTCTCCCACTCCCTTCATTTATGTCATGCATGTATAGACATTTCAGTTTTCGTCCCCTGCAACTTTCAGTTGTAGCTTTTGAGTTAGAAATAATAAAAAGCTTAGCTTGAGAATTCTTTGCCTTTAGGCAGGTTGAGAAATTGCAGTTTTTTAAAAGTAGGACAGTAAATACATAAGTAAATAACTGGCAGGCCAAATAGGCCTCAGGCAGACTTGCTTTGCACTTCTTGTGGTCTGGAGGGAGAAGCTTGAATGTCAATGCCAAGTGCCTGTTTCCTTTTTTGTTTGTTGGTTGATGTCTTTCTTAGCTGTGTTTGCTCCTTGTTGCTTGTAGGTGTGCTGATGTGGGAAGTCTTCAGCGAAGGCAGAATCCCATATGAAAACAGAAGCAACTCAGAGGTAGTGGAAGACATCAGTACCGGATTTCGGTTATACAAGCCCCGACTGGCCTCCTCCCACATCTACCAGATCATGAATCATTGCTGGAAAGAGGTCAGTAGGTGAAGTGTTGTCCCTCTTTAATACATGATAATACACTAAGCCAGGGCCTACCCTGTTCCCTGGAGAATGGCTCCCTCTTAGAAGGATGAGGCAGCAGGTTGACTAACAGATTAGCAGGAAGGTAACTTTGAAAGTCTTTACATTTTTTAAATTATTATTTTTAATTGTACATATTTTGGGGCACTGTTGACAATTTGATACTTGTATACAATGTGTAATGATCAAATCAAGGTAGTTACCATTTCAACATCCTTAAACTTTTTAAAAGTAATTTTTGATTACACATCGTAATTGTACATGTTTTATGGGATACAATATGATATTTCAATACATGAATACAGTGTGTGCAGATCAAATCAGAGTGATTAACATTTCCATATCCTTATCATTACTTTATGTTTGGAGGTTTAAACTCTTCTCTTCTAATTTTTTATAAGACATACAATAGGTTATAGTGAACTACAGTCAGCCCACTGTGCTGTGAAACACAACATATTCCTTTTTGTCTAACATATCTTTTGGTACTCATTTTCCAGTCTCCCCCATTCTCCTTCCTCTTACCTTTTCCAGCCTCTAGTAATCTCTATTCTACATTCAGATTGACTTTTTAACTTTCTATATATATATGAGGGAACATGCATTTGTCTTTTGGTGTCTAACATTTTACTTAAAATAATGTCCTCTTGGCCACTGTGAATGGTGCTACAATAAACATGAGAGTACAGGTATCTTTCTGATGTGTTGAGAAGTGGATCACATGGTAGTTCTATTTTTAGTGTTTTGAGGAACCTCCATAGTGTTTTCCATAAACATATTAATTCAGATTTCTACCAAGAGTGTATGTATTCCGCCACCCCCTTATTTTTACATCCTCACCAGCATTGGTTATTTTCTGTTAATCAATTGGATAGATTCCCCAACCCTAACAAAGTTAACATCAATCTTAAATATTATTCAGTTTTCTATGTAATATCACAAGTCATTAGTATAGTTTCAGAGGATAGAGAGGGGCTATGTCAACACCCTCCTCAACTTTTTGAGCAGAAAAAAAAACTTTATAAAACCATGAAAAGAACAGGAAGTTAGTTCTATAAATAGGGGACTAGGAGTTCACTTTTACTATGAAAATATTAAAAGGATTAAATTAAATTTTTTATTATTTATTCAACAATTCAGAATTTGGAGTCATTTCGTATCTTCCCAGATGGCTCACTTACCCCCATCCTTAGTTCATAGGCTCTGCCTTGAGCCACATTGATGTGAATCTTAATTGTCTTTTGGTGAGTTACAAAATTGTACAATTCAGCTAAAGTAGAAAATAGCTGAAGTGGAGAGTCAATAAAAACTCAGATTGTTAAAGGACAAAAAGGTAGAATGTGAAAATATATACTTATACAGAATACTTGGATTTTGTCACAGTTTTGCCATTTCTTTTCCATTAATCTTGGGCAATTGTCTCTGAGCCTCATTTTTCTTGTAAGATCATTAAATAATGCTTGATTTGCAACTTCTTAGAGCTTTTTATAACCAAAAAACAAATAAACAAACAATGACATAAAGGGGGGCACAAATCTTGTGTTCTCTACAAGGATTAAATGCTATAATAATATTAATAGCTGATGTTAATTTAGCATTTTTTTTCTCTTTTAACATTTTTATATATTTAAATTAATGGACCTTATTTTTTAGAAATTTTAAATTTACAGAAAAATTGAGCAATGCATGCAGAGAGCTCCTAAATACTCTCCTTGCTCTCTGGTTATAAATATTTTGCACAAGTGTGGTACACTTGTAACAATTAGTGAACCTCTGTCAATACATTGTCATTACTAGAGTTTGTAATTTACATTAAGTTCACTTTTGATGCTGTAGAGTTGAAGGATTTTGAAAAATGCATAATGTCATGTATCCACCATTAAAGTGTCATATAGGATAGCTTTACCACCCTAAAAATCATCTGTGCTTCTCCTATTCATTCTTCTCCCATCCCAAACTACTGGAAACTACCAAACCTTTTACCATCTCCAAGATTTTGCCTTTTCCAGATGGTCATATAGTTGGAATTATACAGTATGTAGCCTTTTCATTCTGACTTTTTTCACCAGTAATATTCATTTAATGTTGCTCCATGTCTTTTCTTGGTTTGGTATGTCATTTCTTTTTATTGCAAAATAATATTCCATTATATGGATATACCATGGTTTGTTTGTACATTTACCTACTGAAGGAAATCTTGATTGCTTTCAGTTTTCAGAAATTATGAATAAAGCTACTATAAACATTTACATGTAGACGGATCCATTTATGTGGATCTATTTATGGGATGTAAATTTTCAACTCAGTTGGGTAAATGCCTAGTAGTGTGACTACTGGATCATATGGTAAGACTATGTTTAGCTTTGTAAGAAACTGCCAGACTGCCTTCCAAACTAGCTGTACCACTTTGCATTCCCACCAGCTATGAGAACTCCTGGTGTGCTTTGTCCTTATCCATTGGTATTAGTTGTGCCAGATTTCAGCCATTCTTATAGATGTATAGTGATAACTCATTGTTGCTTTAAGTTGCATTCCCTAACGACACATGATGGTGAACACTTTTTTGTATGCTTATTTGCCATCTGTGTATCTTTTGGTGAAATGTCTGTTCAGATCTTTTGCCCATTTTTCAATCAGGTTGTTTTCTTATTGTTGAGTTTTAAGGATTCTTTGTATATTTTGGGTGAAAATCCTTTATCAAATGTATGTTTTACAAATATTTTCTTTCAATCTATAGATTGTTTTTTCAAATTTTCTGTATATTTTTAAATATTTATTAATGTATTATAGTTAACATAATATCTGTGTCTTTTACAAAGCAAAAGTCGTTAATTATAACAAAATTCAATATTAATTTTTTCTTAATGAACTATGCTTTTGATGTTGTGTCTAAAAACTCATTGTAAAACCTGAAATTTCCCAGATTTTCTCCTGTTATCTTATAGAAGTTTTATAGTTATGCATTTTATATTTAGGTCTATTATGCAGTTTGAGTAAATTTTTATGAAAGGGATGAGGCCTGTTACTAGAATAATTTTGTGTAGATACCCAATTTTTCTAGCATTATTTTTTCTTTGTAAAAGATTAGTGTGTGTGTATATATATATATATATATATATATATCATATTATGTATATAATTATACATAGTATAATTATATATTATATATAATTATTTATTTATTCAGCAATTATGAATGAAGCTGCTATAAACATTACATGTAGATGGATCCATTTTTGTGAATTTATTTAAATATAACTATATACAATATCTATATTACATAGTAACTATATATTATATATAGTTATATAGATAATATTATGCACACACACACACACACACACACACACACATATATATATATATATATATATATATATATATATATATATATATATATATATATATCTGAGCTCTCCGGTTTGTTCCATTGATCTATTTGTACATTCTTTCACCAGTACCATCCTGGCATGATTATTGTAGTTTTACAGTAAGTCCTAAAATAAAGTAGGGTCAGGTGAGCAGCATCTCCAACTTTGTTCTTTGTCATTGTTGTTTTTGCCTGTCCATATAAACTTTAGAGTCTGTCAGTGCCCACAAAATGACTTACTGGTTTTGTTTTTTGTTGTTGTTTGTTTGTTTGTTTGTTTGTTTTTGTTGTTTGAATTGTGTTGAATCAACATGGAAAGAACTGATATCTTAACACCCTAGTCTTCCTATCCATGAGCATAAAATCTGTGTCCATTTAGTTAGATCTTCTTTGGTTTCTTTTATTAGAATGTTACATTTTTCCTCATCTAGATCATACATATTGTGTGATTTATGCCTAAATATTCCTTTCTGATGAGATTTAGCTTTAATTTTATGATGTATTTTTATGTATGACATTATATTCTCAAAACAATTTTATGAGGTAAATTTTATTGTTATCTCCTTTTATAGATAACAAAACTAAAATTCAAAGAGCTTTAGGAACCTGTTTGTTCCATATCACCCAGTTAATGAGTGGTAAAGTTGAGATTTAAAGCTAGGTGATTTGATTTCAGAATACCTGCTTATAATAGCGAGAGAATAATGCTACCAGTATAATACATATAAAATCATGTTTAAAATTTAGCACAAGATACTTTTATTGCATTCTACTGGTTTGTGTTGGATTTATCTATGACACATAAGTAGAAGGAACTCAGACTTCTTTTTCTTCCTCCTCAGAGACCAGAAGACCGGCCACCCTTCTCTAGACTCTTTGGTCAACTGGCTGAAATCGCAGAATCAGGACTTTAGTAGAGACTCACTGCCAGGCCATGAGCTGCAGGTGACTGAAGGCAGAGTGTCCTCCTTTCATAGAGCATTAAAAACTGCCACCAGCCTAGGACTCCTGGAGACAGCTTGGCCTGTAGCACTGGCCCCTGTGATGAATGCAGCCTCCTGACAGAGACCTGCAGCCAGGTCACAGGCAAGGGGTTGGCCACCAAGCTGAGAGCAGGCCAGCACAGCAGCAATGTCACTGTGTCCTCTCCGGCCTCTTGTCACCTGAATGCACAGACCTCAGTCTAACGGCTTTCAAGGAGCACTTCTTGCACCTCTTAACAATAGGCAGAGAAGGTGTAGGAGCTCAGATTCTTATTTTTAACATTAAGCACGGATCTAAGGCTATGGTTCCGGGGATTTTCATTTGACCCAACCATACAATATGCCAGTATATGGGGGCCAAGGAGAATAAGAAACATGACTCTTTTTCTAAGAAAACCAGTGAGTTGGTTAAGGCCAGGAAGCATGCTCGGTTGCTGTGATGCAGTCAGCCGCAGTTTCCTGCAGTAGATGTACTGAAGCAGCTGCTTACACCAGAGGCCGGATGTCCTGAGAAGCAGCTTCATGAGGCTTCACAGAGCACACTGCCTCATCACTCCCTGGCGGAGCTTGGATGGATCGGGATGGACCATTCAGATCCCATGATTGGACCATGAGGTATCAGATGTCTAGTCAGGAATAAGAGGGCATCTGAGAGGACCCCCTCCCCCCACCCCAAAACAAACAAACAAACAGAAAAAAGGCATTACCATGCTAATGCTCCCATTTTGTATCAAGTCATGCAAGTGACTGTGCCTCCTCTTCTACGCAGAGTGCTTAGGAAATGATTATTTCGGAATCCTCATCATTCCAGCCACTGGGAATCAGCCCCCTCTCTGAATAGTACTACCTGCATCAACAGGGGGCAGCATTGTGTCGGCCAGTGTGGTCTTACAGAGAGTAGTTCTAAGGTTGAGACTTCAAGTCTCCCAAAATTCTAGGAGAGGGATAAGAACTTTGTTCTTGGTTAAACTATTTATATGGAAACTGAGTCAAGCACTGTGGTGCTTCCAGGATATACAGGATGTCCAACTGTTGACTGAGTTCTTGTATGGCAAAGTAGATACATATACTGAGCTACAAGCCCTTCCTGGGAAATGCACCTGAGTTCACATCAATTTAGGAAGATAATATTATTTCCCCCATTTTAAAAAGCCAAGAAATGTGCCCAAGGTGACAGAATTGGGAAATGTAGAGCTGAAATACCAGCCAAAGTCTGACTCCATTGCAGAATCTTTGTTATTTTTTAAAATATGTATATTTTTAGTTGTTGATGTACCTTTATTTTATTTATTTGTTTATATGTGATACTGAGAATCAAACCCAGTGCCTCACACATGCTAGGCAAGCACTCTACTACTGAGCCACAACCCCAGCCCAGAATCTTTGTTTTTATTCAACACTGCCTTCTACTGAGAGTGAAAGGGATTGCAAAGGAGATCAAAAACTGGAGAAACCCACAGACTGCCCATAAAGAAATCAATACAGCACCAATGAGGAATGCTGCTTATGCAGAGACCACTCAGTGGACCATGTGGAGCTCCAACTTGAAATAGGATCTTCGCTTTCTTCACCTTCATCCTCATCTTGATCATGGTTAGTGACTTTGTAGTTACTCAGTTAATTAACCCTTTAATTTTCCCTGCCCACCCGGATCACATTGCATGAAGCCATTTACAGATGAACTTCAAAGTAGATCCTACCGCAGAGGGATAAATATTTCCCTTAATTATCCACCTCAACTTTGAGCTGCAGTCTTCTTGGACACTTTGTATGTGGGGGTATTCCCTGATATAAAACAAACTTGCTTTTTCTCCAATGTTCAGTTTAAACTCTTAGAGAAATTATCAGATAGTGTTGCAATCAACTCTTTTGAATTACGATATTTTTGGCTGGCTTGAGATTTAGATGCATAACTTTTAACCATAATTATTGTGAAACAGAGCCTCAAGATAAAATTCTATCATTCAGAAGATGATCTTACTCAACTTATCCACAATCGTCCCTGTTTACATTTTAGCATTTTGTGCATTCTCTTTGGAACCCTTAATTAGAGACCATTTCTGGGACATTCAGCCCTGAAGGAAAACATCAGAATGGACTGATCTCTGTGGTTTGGCTTAGAAAACTTTCCTCTGCATGGCATTATCTTTTTTAAGCTCAGAGTCGTTGGGGCTTCAACTGAACACGTGTACATCACTCACCTCCCAGTGTCCTGTATTGCAAAACGGGCTTCTTGTCAGATGATTTTCCCTCTCACATATTGAAAATGGTGCTCTGCATTCACAGAGAATTCCCTTATACAAGGTTTTTGTTTTAGTTGCATTTTGTAGATTTTGAGTCTATGTATCTTTTTAGACTATGTATTTATACTTAAGTCAGATGACTATTTATTAGTGTACAGTCACTGTTAGTGTTCAAAATAAAAATGTTACAAATATATCTTACCCTTTTTAGAGCACACAAAGTTGCATATGTGCAAATAAAACTGTTTTAATAAATGTATCATTCATGGCTTAAGTTCCAAATTTATCCAAATGGTAAACTCTTAAAAGTTTTACACACACACACACACACACACACACACAAATGTTACTTGGAGTGGCAAGTGCCTATAATCCCAGCAGCTTGGAAGGTTGAGGCAGGAGAATCCCAAGTTCAAAACCAGCCTCAGCAACAGCGAGGCACTAAGCAATTCAATGAGACCCTGTCTCTAAATAAAACACAAAATAGGGCTGGGGATGTGGCTCAGTGGTCTAGTGCCCCTGAGTTCAATCCCGGGTACCCACCCTACCCCACCCCCCAAAATTGGCTACCTTGTTTTATCTCCCCCCAAAAAGTATATCATTCAAAACTATTCATTAAATGTGGACCCTCCAATGCTTCCGATGTGTCATGCACTCAGCACAGTACACAGCTTTATAGAAACAAAGAATTTTGGCAGTCTTTACTTTCAAGAAACTGGGTCTGGTAGGGAAGGCATACAGCAGATATATAGTCAAATAAAATTATAGTACAGCAATGGAAATATAGTCAAAGAAGAGAAGAACCCAGAAAGAAACTCAGAAAATAATAGAATTAATCAGGAGAGGGATACTATACTCAAAATGTGGTCCCTGGACCAGTAGCAACAGAATTACCAGTTTATGAGAGAAGAAAAAATTCTCAGGCTTCACTCTCACTTACTGAACAATAATCTGCATTTAAACTATTTATTTATATTTTGGTGCAGGGGATCATACATACATTAATGTTGGAGTAGCATTGTCATAGAAGATGAAATACCTAATTCAGTTTGAGAGATAAAATATAACTTTGTTTTGGTAAGTAAGTGAAATAATAGAAATAATTTCCAGGTAGAGGAAATAAAATATTTGGGAAGCTGTTATCAGTTTGATGTTATTGGTGTGTAAATGTGTGTGTGTGTGTGTGCGCGCACGCACACACGTGCATGCTCTGAAAGGGTGGTAAATTGAAACTGAGAATATAAATTTAGACATATTTTAAAAATCTAAGAAGGCAGACTTTTACACTGTAGGTAGAAATATCAATGAGCAGAAAGGGAAGGTCAAATTTGTTTTTAAAAATACATCCTAGCAGCATCGTAATGGGTAAACTTGTTAAAGGCAAAGCTGATGGAAGAGACATCAGTTTGGAGATGATTTTTTCTCCTTGTTCACAGTACCAGATTATTGTTCATTCTCATTCACTCACTGTCATCTGCTGTGTGGGTGACATGTGGAAATTATAATTCAGAATTCCTCAGTCACTGCTGGGCAGCAATAAATAGCTATTCCCCTTGCTCTTAAAATTTCAGTGAAATAAAAGCTGGGCTGTTACAGCCTTGATGTGTTGATCACTCTGTATGTTTCAGCTCACCACATACCTGTGTCCATTACAGAGTCAGATCTTGCAGTAGGTATAGGCATAGGCCAGAAAGCCTGTGGCTTCTACTCAGTGGTTCCTAGGATTCGCCTCCAGGCTAACTCCCATGGATAAATAATCCACATGGAAATGTTCTAAAGTAAGTTGGAAGAACAGACATGCTTCTCAGAATATTTTTCCCCCCACAGACACCAATTCTCTCTGAGTCTCCCAACACACAAAACCATCATCCTACCATTCTGAGGAAGAGAGAAAATGTGTGCCATTTGACAAGATGGGGAGTGTGGGGGTGGGGAAAAACAGAAGGGAAGGGAGGGAGCATATATGCAGAAGGAACTATGGATTCCCCAAGTACTCTCTCAAAGAGAGTTGGGAGTAGAAGCTGTATTTGCACAATAAACACAGATTTTTACATTAGAATGCATTTTAATTTGTTATGGCTTTATGGAAAATGCTGGAAATTTACTGTGCTAAAGCCCACTCCCCGGAGTCACCTCTTGATGCCAGCACTGTGTACGTGAGCAAATGTGTGTTTGAGTGTGCCCGTGTGTGACCCTATCTATGAAGACTTCATGATTCTCCCCAAGGCATAATGTATTGATGGCTTGTAGGAGAACAGAATCATGTACATATTGTCAGAAGAAGTTTTAGAGATTATCTATTTCATAAAAAGTTGCTATTCACCTACTATGGCTCTGTGGTAGGTGCAGGGTCTAAAAAAATGAATAGGACATCTTATCTGTTGGGACCAAACCCGTCATATTCAAATTAGGATAATTTAAGGATGGCTCATTTATAAAATGACTCTTTAAATAAAACACGAGGGAGGTAGCAGCTGAGCAGTGTGTTACAGTTTAAATGTTTCATGCTGAAACTTAATCCCCAGTGCAGCAGTATGAAGAGGCTGGGTCTTTCCAAGGGAATTAGGTCATGGGGCCTCCACTCTCATGAATGGGATTAGTGCACTTATGAAAAGACTGGAAGGACTCGGTTTCTTTATACCTGTCTGCCATGTGAGGACACAGCAACAGGTGTTAACTATGGGCCAGAGGGAGCCTTCCTCACATGACACCTAGTGTTCCAAGCCTTGATCTTGGACTTCCCAGCCTCTATAACTGTGAGAAATAAATTACCCAGTCCAACATAGTTGATTATAGCAGTTAAAAAGTCATCATCCCTAGGTCCAAGAGGAACAAGGAGGGAATGTGGTCATTTGAATGTGGAAGGTGTCCCTCAGAGAATGTTGAGAGGAGAGAGCTTTAGTAAGGGAAAAGAAGCCCAAGGCAACATCAAAGGGATGTGACCTGTCACACATGACTCCCTTCCTCCCATCAACTGCTGAGACTTCTGTTGATCCAACCCAACCAAAGCCAGAGGGCAAAAGGGCCCTAGCAGAGCAGTCCAGAGAGGTCAGTTTCTGGGCAGAGGGCAGGGTGAGAAGACTGGAGTGGTTCTGGGTACAAAGAAAAGGCACCTGGTCAAGCCAACAGCCCTTCCTCTAAGATGTTCTCAGGCTAACAAGAAAGTCCAACATGTAAACAAAACATGTGACTCTTATTATTTGTGGATTTCATGTTTTGAGAATTTGCCTATATTGCCCTCAAATCAATACATGAGGCTTTGCTTTTTTTTTTTTTTTTTTTTGCAGTCGATGATGACAGCTCTCCATATGACATTTCCAATGGCCTATAGAGCAATGTTTTCTCTCAGCTCAGCTCTCAGGCTGTAAATAAGTGACCTTTATGGAGTCTCGTTAGTGGCACATTTTTGTAATTTTTATTGGTGATTTTAGTGTTTAACATGACCCCAAAGTGTAGTGCTAAAATTATGTGTATTGTTCTTAAATGCAAAAAACACTGTGATGTCTTACAGGGAAAAAAAATGTATTAGAAAAGCTTTGTTCAAGTAAGTCTATTGCTGTTGACCATTAGTACACATTAATGAATCAACAATAGATGTTAAATCAGGTTTTTCTTAAACAGAATTATGCAATAAAACAAGATTAAGTATTGATTGGTTGACAAAATGTTGTGACTAAAGGCTTTTAGGGAATTTAATACTGCATGTCTCCTACAACAGTTCAGTATTTGCTAGTTGAGTATTCACAGTAACTTCGTAGTACATGACTACTGAATAACAAGAAGAAACTGTAATCATAAAAGACTGTTTGGGTTACCTGATGGAAATATGGTCACAGAACTGTGAGACCACAAAGGACAGAGAGGGCTTCACAGAGGGACTTAAGTCTGAGCTGTGTATTTAATGCAAGTTCCAAGGAGACGAGGGTCTGGAAGGACATTTCACACACAGGAACCACAGTGCATAAAAACACATATTATTCCTATTTTTTCTCCTTTACTATTTTTATGTTAGTACCAAGAGCCCTGAGACTGAAACCAACACATACCAGCTAGAATTATTGCAGTATTTATGGAAGAACCAAGTAGATTAAAATCCTCAGTCTCGAGGTTGAGACTCCCCACCCATCTAGAGCTACACCATCTAGAGCTGCTATGAAGTTTCCAGTCCTTTTGCGTTTTCCCAAAGACTGATTTTGCATAGAAGGACCCAAAGGCTGAAAAAAACAACACAAACATTCATTTGCTTTTCTGTTTTGTCTTTCTTATAAGTACTTTTTCACCTAAGATTATGTTTGATTTTTATAGCAATTTGGGGATGGCATTAGGAATGGGGTCTCACTTGATAGAAGAGAGAAGTGATACACAGAAGGTTTCACTGCCATGTCTGGGGCTGTAGAGCTACTTAACAAAAGTGAGATTAGATGATGATGATGATGATGATGATGATGATAATAATAATAATAATAAATATTACTATTATAGCTTCCATTTTTGAGCACTTATTATGTACCTGACTCTGCTTAGTATGTTATATTTATTATTTCATTTATTCTTCCCAGGGACCTAAGGGGTAGGTATAATTATTTTCATCTTAATTTTACAGATGAAAGGATAGGACTCAATGGAAATCATTCATAATCCTACAATTAGTAAGTGGCAGAATGGGGGCTTGAAGTTGGAGCTGTTTGTCCCCAAATTCCAATACTCCCAATCATTCTGTGGAATTGATCATAAAGCCATTTATACCAGCCTCTGAGAATACAGAAGCACTGCTTGCCTGGACCTGTTACATTGTTGCAATCTAAATCTACCTTGGCTACATTATTGCATTCCGTATCATATTAGGGCTCTCTCAGACCCTCTTTCACCTGTTCTTATTCAAAATTGTTGGAAATAGCATTTGTTTAAATAAAGAAGTATTCTGGGCCATCAAGCTGTGTGTAAACCTCTGACCTTCAAGGGAGATCAGTCTCTTGAAGTGGTAGGAAAACAGCAAAATTAAACAAAACATAAACAGAAGGAATGCATTTTCAAATGACCTCAGAGAGAGGTTTGAACCACAAAAATCCTTAAATTTTCAACTAGAGCATAACAGCCACTCAGAATTCTGTGTGGATGAATTGAGTTCATTCACATACAGTGCTTAGCTTATAGTCTGCTCCAACTAAAAATTCAATGAATGTCAGGTTAAACTATAGGCTTTAATGAATTTTTTTTCATGCTCAAAGAGTTAGGCAATCTAGTTTCATGGGTTCTGGG